AACTTCAGCTTGAGAACGGCTTGAAAAAGCTGGCTTTCGACTGAAGGCTTCTAAAGTGTAGAGACTTCTGCAACACAGAGGCTGCTTCAAAAATTTTTGCTGACTTTATTATTCAAACTTTTGTAACCAATACATACCCAATTTTTGGAATGAAAAACAAACTGCTTTGGAATGAAAAACAAACCAAACTGCTTTGGAATGAAAAAAAAAAAAAAACTGCTTTAGCCTTGCATTTGGAGATGACTTTGCAGCACATGTTCAGCACTCAGTCTTCTCCTAATAGAATTCCAGGGATGCTGGATCCAAACTTTGAGAAGCAGTAGAATGCACTGGTTAATTTTAAAGATTGTGGAGCCAGACAACCCAGATTTAAATTCCAATTTCACCACTGACTAATTAAATGGAGTTAAGCAAGTCCTTATTTAACATGTGCAGGTACTTTTATAAATACTTTACAAAATTACCTGATTAATCTTGTTAACATTTCTATGTAGCAGATACCTTTACAATTAATAGCTCCACGCCTCAATTTCCTCCCCTGTTAAATGGAAATAACAAGAACACATATCATTCTAGAGTTACTGTTAGAATTAGTAACTCTTAGGAGAGTATTTGGCAGATGTAAAGTTAGCTATTATAGGTATGTCATTTCATTCAGTGTTGTAATACTGTACTTCATAGATACTCTGCTTTTACACGTGGCAGGTTTGTTGCAACCCTGTATCAAATAAACCATTTTTTTAAAAAGATCTTATTTATTTATTTATTTGACAGATAGAGTTACAGACAGTGAGAGGGAGAGACAGAAAGGTCTTCCTTCCGTTGGTTCACCCCCCAAATGGCTGCTACGGCTGGAGCTACGCTGATCTGAAGCCAGGAGCCAGGTGCTTCTCCTGGTCTTCCATGCAGGTGCAGGGCCCAAGCACTTGGGCCATCCTCCACTGCACTCCCAAGCCACAGCAGAGAGCTGGACTGGAAGAGGAGCAACCGGGATTAGAACCTGGTGCCCATATGGGATTCTGGCACCGAAGGCGGAGGATTAGCCAAGTGAGCCACGGTGCCGGCCCAAATAAACCATTTTTCTAACTGCACGAGCTCAATTCATGTCACATTTTGGTATTCTCACAATGTTTAAAACTTTTCTATCATTGCTTTTATCTGTTATGGTTGCTCTGTGATCAGTAATTTTTGCTGTTCCTACTGTAATTGTTCTGGGGTTCCACGAACCTTGCTCATATGGATGTAAACTTAGTCAATAAATGTCTACTCCCCTGATGGGCTGTTTCCCTTTCTCTCTCTCCTCAGAACTCCCTACTCCTGACACAAAACAATAATGAAATTAGCTAATTAATAACCTACAATGCTGTCTATGTGTTCAAGTAAAAGAAACAGTCACAGGTTTCTTCGAACATAGGAACAGAAAAAAAAAAAAAAAGCAAAACAGCCTTATTCCTGATAGTTTTAGTGGTCTGGATAGAAGATCAAAACATTCAGAACATTCTCTTAAGCAAAAGCCTAATTAAAAGCAAGGTCCTAACTCTTCAGTTCTATGAAGAATGACAGAGTGGAGGAAGCTGCAAAAGAAAAGTCTGAAACTAGCAGAGGTCGGTTTATGAGGTTTAAGGAAATAAATCATTTCTATAACATGCAAGTGCACAGTGAAGCGCCACGTGCAGAAGCTGCAGCAAGTTACTCAAAAGATCTAGGTAAGGTAATCGATGCAGGTGGTGCTTCTAAACACCAGATTTTCAATGGAGTTGAAATAGCCTTATATTTGAATATACCAGCCAGAACTATCATAGAAGGGAGAAATGAATGCCTAGTTCGAAGCTTCAAAGACTACTTGCATGGGGCTGGCACTGTGGCGTAGCGGGTAAGCTGCCACCTGCTGTGCCGGCATCCCATATGGGCACCGGTTTGAGTCCGGCTGCTCCACTTTCGATCCAGCTCTCAGCTATGGCCTGGGAAACCAGTAGAAGATGGCCCAAGTCCTTGGGCCCCTGCATCCACATGAGAGACCCAGAAGAAACTCCTGACTGCTGGCTTTGGATCAGTACAGCTCTGGCTGTTGCGGCCAACTGGGGAGTGAACCAGTGGATGGAAGACTTCTCTCTCTCTCTGCCTCTCCTTCTCTCTCTGTGTAACTTTGACTTTCAAATAAATAAATAAATCTTTAAAAAAAAAGACTATTTGCTGAATTCTTTACTTGGTGGAGGGTTAAGCTTGTGATTATAAAGAAAATTCAAAGTAAGTCACTGTAAAAATTAAAAGAAAAATAAGAAAGAAGATGGGAGAGTAAGAATGAAGTAGTGAGAGAGGGAGAGAGGGCAGGATGGGAAATATCATTATGCTCTTAAAACTATATATTAGGGGCTGGTGCTGTGGTATGGCATAGTGGGTAAAGCCGTTGCCTGCAGTGCCGGCATCCCATGTGGGCGTCGGTTCCAGTCCCGGCTGCTTCACTTCCCATCCAGCTCTCTGATATAACCTGGGTAAACACTAGAATATGCCCATGTCCTTGGGCCCCTGCACCCACGTGGGAGACCCAGAAGCAGCTCTTGGCTCCTGCTTTGGATTGGCCCAGCTCCGGCTGTTGTGGCCTTTGGGGAGTGAACCAGTGGATTGAAGACTTCTCTCTCTCTCTCTCTTTCTCTCTCTCTCTGCCTCTGCCTCTCTGTAACTCTTTCAAATAAATAAAATAAATAAATCTTTAAAAAATCCCCTGTATATAGTAATAAATAAAATTTGTTCTCTTTTTATAAATAAAACACACGCATACACACATACACACACATACGCAAAGCTTCAAAGAACAGATTAGCTCTGTTGTTAAGGGCTAACACAGCCAACTTTAATGGTGACTTTAAGTAAAAGCCAATGTTTATCTACCATTTGGAAAATTCTAGGGTTCTCAGGAACAATACTAAAACTACTCCCCCTCAGCTCTATATATGAAACAACAAAGCCTGGATGACAGCATATCTGTCTAAAATATGGTTTACTGAATATTTTAAGCCCACTAAAGAGATCTACACCCCAGAAAAAAAAAAAAAAAGATTCACTTCAAAATATTACTACTCACTGACTATGCACCTGGTCACTCAAGTGTTTGATGAGGTACAATGAGATTCATGTTGTTTTATTGGCTGATAACACAACATGCATTCTGCAACCCAAAGATCAAAGAGTAATTTTGACTTTTAAGTGTTATTTTCTAAGAAATACATTTTCTAATGCTATAGCTACCATATGCAGTGAGTCTTTGATGGATCTGGGCAATGTAAATTGAAAACCTTCTATAAAAATTCACCATTCTACATCCACAAAGAATATTCATAATTTGTGGGATAGCAACATTAACAGTGGTTTGGAAGAAGTTGATCACAACTCTCATAGATGTCTTTGAGGGGTTCAAGAGGGGCAAAATAACTGCAAATGTGGTGAACACAAGAGAACTAGAATTAGAAGGGAAGCCTGAAGATGTGTCAGAATTGCTACAATCTCATGATAAAACTTTAATGTTGGGGCCAGCACCGTGGCACACTAGGTTAATCCTCCACCTGTGGCGCCAGCATCCTATATAGGTGCCAGTTCTAGTCCTGCTTGCTCGTCTTCCAGTCCAGCTCTCTGTTATGGCCTGGGATAGCAGTAGAGGATGGCGCAGGTGCTTGGGCCCTGCACCCGCATGGGAGACCAGGAAGAAGCACCTGGCTCCTGGCTTCGGATTGGTGTAGCTCTGGCCGTTGAGGCCATTTGGAAAGTGAACCAATGGAAGGAAGACCTTTCTCTCTGTCTCTTTCTCTCTCACTATCTGTAACGCTACCTGTCAAAGGAAAAAAAACTTTTTCATGTATGGTAATGAGGAGGTACTTCTTACGAACGAGCAAAGAAAGTGGTGTCTTGAAATGGAATCTGCTTCTGGTGAAGAAGCTGTGAAACTGATGAGATGACAACAAAGTTGTCATTATATATTTAGTTGATAAAGCAGTGGCAGAGCTAGAGAGGACACCAATTTTGAAGAAGTTCTATTGTGGATAAGATGCTACCAAATAGCGTTGTGTGCCATGAGAAATGTTTTGTAAAAAGGAGTCAATCGTTGTTGTTTTAAATTTATTTATTTGGAGGCAGTAAGGCAGAGGGAGAGATAGTGAGAGAGTGAGAGAGGGCAAACGAGTGTGCAAGTGAGCTCCTATCTACTATTTCACTCTCCAAACGCCCACAATGGCTGGGGGTGGGCCAAGGCTGAAATCTGGATGCCAGGGGTTATGAATGCAATCCAGCTCTCCCTCAAGGGTAGCAGGAACCCAGTTACTGGAGCCATTACCGCAGCCTCTGAGGGTCTGCATTAGCAGGAAGTTGCCGTCAGGAGCTGCAGCTGGGACTGGAACCAAGTACTTCGATGTAGGATACATGTGTCTTAACTGCTATGCTGAATTCCTGCCCCTCACTACTGTCTTATTTTAAGAAATTGCCACAGCCACCCCAACCTTCTGCAACCACCACCCTGCTCACCAAGCAACCATCAACTCTGAGGCAAAACTTTCCACTTACAAAAATTATTACTTGACGAAGGATAGATAATCATTCATATTTTTTTCTTTTTAGCAATAAAACATTTTAAAATTAAGATATGTACTCCATTTTTTTTAGCCATAATGCTATTCCACTCTTCAGACTACAGTGCAGTGTAATTGTAACTTTTTATCCACTGAGAAATCAAAAAATTTGTGTAACTTGCTCTCTGTGGTATTAGCTTTATTGTGGTGGTATAGAACCCAACTTGCAATACCTCCAAAGTATGCTTGTATTACCTGTAGAACCTGTGCACATCACAGGAAATCAGCTTGATGTAACTTTTTCATTTATACTAATGTTCCCTGCAAGGGTATAGACAGAATTCTTTGATATGGGGACAAATCTCAATTACTTCCCAGTCGATTCTGAATCTGCAAGGGAAAATCTAGTGGCTGGTGCTGATACAGAAAATGTAGGACAAATACCTTTGAAATCCAGCCTCTTTTCTGCATCTGCTCTGTCATCTCTCAAGTTTACACTGCCGTCTCTGGTTGGGATGGCTGTAACGGCCTCGTAACTGATTCAACAGCATCCTCCTTGGTTGTTTTCTTCTCCAGGAGATTAACCTTTTCAAAAGACAGAGATGGAATGGATCACACTTTGCTCATGCTTAAAACAGTGCGGTAGTATTTCTCCAAATCCAAATTGGTAATTTGGCTGACTAAGGCTTAGAAGGTCTGCTCTTGCCCCAGTCATTACTGCTCCTCCTCACGGTCTCTACCACAGCCATATATGCCTGCATGCATTGTCCAATATTTGTTTACTTGTTCTCTACTTATATAGTTATTGAAAATACATCAGGGACCAAGAGAAAAACAGTTCTTGTGCTGACAGAATTTGCATTTTAGCAGGTAGGGGAATAACAACAACACATAAACATATAATAATCAATAGTTGTAATAAGTATGAAAATGGAAATAAACCTGCAAATAAAAAAGGCAACCCACTTGAGAAGGTATGATTTTAGATGAGATCTAAAGGAAGAGAAGTCAGTCATATGATGAAGGGAGAGGAGAAAATTCAGGTAGAGAGAACAACCCACACAAAGGTTCACATATGTTAGAAAGAACCTGCTGTTTTTGTTTAAAATCTAAAAAAAAAGTTTATTTTTGTTGAAAAGCAGAGCAGGACAGAGAGAGGGGGAGAGGCAGCTATCTTCCATCTGCTGTTTTGCTCCCCAAATGGCTGCAATAGTTAGGTCAGGGCCAGGCTGAAGCCAGGAGCCAAGAACTCCATCTGGGACTCCCACATGGGTGGCAGGGGTCCAAGCATGTGGGCTACCTTCCACTGCCTTCCCCTTCCCAGGTACATTAGCAAGGAGCTGGGCTTAAAGCATAGCATCCAGGACTTAAAACCAGCAGTTCAATATGAGATGTCAGCATTATAAGCAGCAACTTAACCCACTGCACCACAAGGCCTGGCCCTAGAACCTGGTGTTTGAGGTACCCAGAGCAGTCAACTTACTGCAAGGTGGGGTGGCTGGGCTGGCATCTGATTTTGTATGGCCTATCAGGCAAGGATAAAGATTTGAATTTAATTCCTTTTTCATTAGAAAAATCTCAGTTATTTAAAAAAGGTCAAAGAGTGGTACATGTACTCCATGATACCGTTTACCTAGATCTAGCAATTAACATTTTGTCACATCTTTTTTTTTTTTTAAGATTTGTTTATTAAAAAAAAAAGAAAATGAATCTTGATGTGAATGGGATGGGAGAGGCAGTGGGAGATGGGACAACTGCAGGTGGGAGGAATGTTATGGGGGGGAAAGCCACTATAATCCAAAAGTTGTACTTTGAAAATTTATATTTATTAAATAAAAGTTAAAAAAAATTAAAAAAAAAAGATTTGTTTATTTATTTCAAAGGCAGAATTACAGAGAGAGTTGGAAACACACAGAGTGAGCTTCCATCTGCTGGTTCACGTCCCAGATTTTTGTGACAGGGCTGGGCCAGGCCAAAGCCAGGAGCCTGTAATATCATCTTCCGCTGCTTTCTCAGGTGCATTAACAGGGAGCTGGATCAGAAGCAGAGCAGTTGGAATTTGAACCAGCACGGTTTAACCAACTGTGCCACAATGCTGGCCCCTTGCCAAATCTTTTGAAAGTAAATCGCAGACACTGTGATGCTTTGTTGCTAAACATTTGAGAAATAACTACCCAGTATTAGACAGTTTTCTGCATTATCACAAATTCATCACTTACTGATATTTTTTTTTTTTTTTTTTGACAGGCAGAGTGGACAGTGAGAGAGAGAGACAGAGAGAAAGGTCTTCCTTTGCCATTGGTTCACCCTCCAATGGCCGCCGCGGCCGGCGGCGCTGCGGCCGGCGCACCGCGCTGATCCGATGGCAGGAGCCAGGAACCAGGTGCTTTTCCTGGTCTCCCATGGGGTGCAGGGCCCAAGCACCTGGGCCATCCTCCACTGCACTCCCTGGCCACAGCAGAGAGCTGGCCTGGAAGAGGGGCAACCGGGACAGAATCCGGCGCCCCAACCAGGACTAGAACCCGGTGTGCCGGCGCCGCTAGGCGGAGGATTAGCCTAGTGAGCCGCGGTGCCGGCCCTGCTAATTTTTTAAAAAAAGGTTTATTTATTTGTTTGAAAGACAGAGTTAACAGAGAGGGAGGAGAGACAGAGAGATCTTCCATCTGCTGGATCACCCCCAAGTGGCACCCCCCAGAGCTGGGCCAAACTGAAGCCAGGAGCCTAGAATGACTTGGCCATCTTCCACTGATTTCTTGAGCACATTAGCAGGGTGGTGGATTGGAAGTGGAGCAGCCGGGACTTGAACCTGCACCCATATGGCACATGGGATGGTGGCTTAACCTGCTGTGTTACAACGCTGGCACCACATACTGAAAATTTAACACTGATTCAGAACCATCTATTATGTAGTCCATATTTAAATTTCCCCTGTTGTCCATGAAATGTTTTTAAAAAGCATCAAAAAGCCAGGGCCGGCACCATGGCTCACTTGGTTAATTCTCCCACCTGTGGCGACGGCATCTCATATGGGCGCCGGGTTCCAGTCCCGGCAGCTCTTCTTCCAGTCCAGCTCTCTGCTGTGCCCTGGGAGGGCAGTGGAGGATGGCCCAAGTGCTTGGGCCCCTGTACCCACGTGGGAGATCAGGAGGAAGCACCTGGCTCCTGGCTTCAGATTGGCACAGTGCTGGCTGTGGCGGCCATTTGGGGAGTGAACCTTTCTCTGTTTCTCTCTCACTACCTATAACTCTGTCAAATAACTAAAAAAAAAAAAAAAAACCCTAAAAACCAATCAAGCACACAAATCTAATTTAGTTTGTGTCTCTTGATTAAAGCAACCCTTCACCTTGTTTTTGTTTTTCTGTCAAGAACTGACATTTTTGAAGAGCGTGGGGCATTTGTCTCATAAAATGTTCTACATTTTAGGTCACCCTGACCCCCTGATTATCTTCTCCTGATTAGATTCATGTCAAATCTTTCTGGCACACGTGGTATCAGATGACACGCTCTCTTATTAATGGTAATGCCAAGTATCCTCACTTGGTTAAGATATGTTTAATGATCTCTTCATTGTAAATTATCTTTTCTTTTTACAATTAAGAAACAATCTGGGGTGATTCTTGAAGGTTGCATTAAAGTCTTGTCTTCAACAACCTTTCAGCCAGTGGTTTAGCATGTTTCTTTCATTGATTTTAGAATTCATCAGCTTACTTGTATCAATCTTTATATTATGAATTATGGGATTTTCTATTTATTATTTCTTTTGCTTTATTAAGTGGCACTCTCACAAAGAAAGGGTTTTCATTTTTATCCCCTTTCTCTCCCTGTGACCCCTCATTTTAATATTACAAAAAGAGGAATTTTTTTTTAAAGAGTTTTTATTTGTTTGAAAGGCAGAGTTACAGAGACAGAGGGAGAGACAGAGAAAGAGATCTTCCATCTGCTGATTCACTATCCAAATGGCTACAACAGCTGGGACTGCGCCAGGATGAAGTTAGGGACCAGGAGCTTCTTTTGGGGTCTCCCATGTGCGTGTAAGGGCCCAAGCACTTGGGCCATCTTCTGCTGCTTTCCGAGGTGCATTAGCAGGGAGCTGGATCAAAAGTAGAGCATCGGGGTCTTCAATTAGCGCCCATATGGGATGCTGGCATTGCAGGGAGCAGTTTAACCCATTAGGCCACAATGCCAGCCCCGAAAGAGAGGATTTTCAAAAGTGACTTCTTATTCTATTAGCATCATTATTCTTTTTGATACTCAAATTATCGTAAATGTGGCTAGTGGGAGCCCCTTTAAGTCAAGTTCAATGTCCTTTTGAAATGACCTTATTAATCTTTAAGGTCTTTGCTTTCTGACATGACAAGGATGTGCTAGACTTACCTTTTAAGTTCCTCTCCAAGGAGCTCTGGTTCCTTTTAGCAATAAATGGTATTAAGAAAAAAAAAGACCCCAGAGAATGTCTGAAATTATAGATAGCACTGAACCCCAAAAAAATCAATGTTTTTTCTTATACATGCTGAGTAGAACAAACAAATTCAGATTCAGCTTCTTCTATGTACCCACAACATTGATCAGTTTTGATTCCAAAATGTATGGAGATTTCTCCCCACCAGAAAGTAAGCACAACACTATTTACCTGGAAGCAGTATCAGATCTTACAGGCGAAGGGCTCAATCCCAAAAGACTGTCTCCACTTCAGTCCTAGCTAGTTGCAAGAATGTGTCTCCAGAACCTCTCACTTACTGGCTACAGATCGGATTCCTACTACCCCTTCTTCAGGGGTAATTTATTAATTAATAAATTAATTTGCTGGAGTGGCTTCCAGAACTCAAGGAAACACCACAGTTCAAGGATAATTTGAAGGCTAAATACAGGGGCTGGCACTGTTGCATAGTAGGCCTGCAGCGTCAGCATCCCATATGGGCCCCAGTTCATGTTTTACCTGCTCCTCTTTCAATCATGCTCTCTGCTATGGCCTGGGAAAGCAGTAGAAGATAGCCCAAGTGCTTGGGTCCCTGCACCCATGTGGGAGACCCAGAAGAAGCTCCTGGCTCCTGGCTTGGATTGGCTCAGCTCTGGCCATTGTGGCCATTTGCGGAGTAAACTAGTGGATAGATGACTTTTCTATCTCTCCCTCTCTCTGTCTCAATAAATAAATAAATAAAAATATATAAAGGCTACATATAAGCAGCCAGATGAAGAAATACATAGGGTGAGATCTGTGAGTGTCCTGAGTACAGAAGCTTCTATCTTCAGGGAGGCTGGCTGTGCCATCTTCAAAGCAAGTGGACCAGTTCTTGCAAGCCTTCATATGTTAAGCTGTCTATAACTCATGCAGCCCTGGTCTTTTAGGTTTTTGTGGAGACTTCACTGCATGTGCAGGTTTGAAGCATGAACAACTATGTAGAAATGCGACTGGACAAAGAGGGCATGGCTAACAGACTAAATGCACAAACCCAGCAGGGCTTATCTGCTCAGACACTTCCTGGCCTCTCTAAGCAGCCTTTCTTTCTCCTGGGTATGGGGCAGGATTTTTTCTTCCCCTTCCCCTTTTCCTCTTTCCCTTCTTCCTCTTCCTCCTCCTCCTCCTCTTCCTCTTCTTCCTCCTCTTCTTCTTCTTTTGACAGGCAGAGTGGACAGTGAGAGAGACAGACAGAGAGAAAGGTCTTCCTTTTCTGTTGGTTCACCCCCCAATGGCTGCTGCGGCTGGCGCACCGTGCTGATCCAAAGCCAGGAGCCAGGTGTTTCCTCCTGGTTTCCCATGCGGGTGTAGGGCCCAAGGACCTGGGCCATCCTCCACTGCACTCCTGGGCCACAGCAGAGAGCAGGACTGGAAGAGGAGCAACCGGGACAGAATCCAGCGCCTGGACCAGGACTAGAACCCGGGGTGCCGGCACTGAAGGCAGAGGATTAGCCTATTGAGCTGCGGCGCCAGCTGGGCAGGATTTCTTCTGAAACAGGGGTTTTCTGAACAACCATTAAATAAAGTAGTTTCAGAGCATTGCTTTGTGACCATTTCCAAGATAGAAAGGCAGGGAAAGATTGGTTTATATGACATGCCTTAGGGAAGAGAAATTCCACTTTCTTTGTCCTGCCTTGGAGAAGGAGTTATGAGCCAGGAACTGTGGATGAAACCCAAAAACTATGTATCATCATATCACACATACATAGTACAATAAACTTTAATTTACAGATTGGGTACTGTAAGAGATGAACAATAGTAAAACAGACCTATAGCAACAGACTACAATAAGTTACAGGAACATGATCTGTCTTAAAATATCATATTGTACCATACTCACTGACTTCTAGTAGTGATGGGAGCTGATACAAATGCCTACATGTTGAGATGAAGTGAGGGAAATGACAGAGGCACTGTGATGGAGCACTGAGCTAATCAGCTCGCATCCCCACCATGTGTGTTTAGGACTGGGGTTCACCCCAGGTAAGGGAAACCTTGGACAGCCAAAAAAACAGCTAAACGGGGGCTGCTGTACTCTTTTTCACTTTTCTTTTTCCATCCACCAACATACATAAGATTTTATTCCAGAAAGTCATTGAAAGGCTTTAAACAAGGGAATGATGTGATTATTTACATTTTGAGATTAGCTTTGTTGCTTTAGGAAGAACACTGGAGAGGAGAACACGACCTGAAGCAGGGAGACCAATGGGAGGCTGTGGAGGTTTAGGTGATGAGAAGAGAAAGGGGTATTTACTTCACTTATTACATAAAAGTACAAGAGATGTGCTAGATTATGAGGAGGACTGAGGATGGCAAAGGAAAAAAGAGGATTCAAAGATGTTTGCTGTGTCTTGAGGAACTGGATATATATTGGTGGTGTCATGAGATGGAGAGGATTAGGGAAGACAAGGTTTGAGTTCTGCAGTGAAAAGTTAGAGTTCTGGGGCCTGTACTCTGGTACAGCAGTGTAAGCCCCTGCTTGTAAGGCCAACATGCCATGAGCACCAGATATAGTTTTAGCTGCACACTTTTTTTTTTTTTTTTTTTTTTTTTTGGACAGGCAGAGTGGACAGTGAGAGAGAGAGACAGAGAGAAAGGTCTTCCTTTTGCCGTTGGTTCACCCTCCAATGGCCGCCGCGGCCGGCGCGCTGCAGCCAGCGCACCGCACTGATCCGATGGCAGGAGCCAGGTGCTTCTCCTGGTCTCCTATGGGGTGCAGGGCCCAAGCACCTGGGCCATCCTCCACTGCACTCCCTGGCCACAGCAGAGAGCTGGCCTGGAAGAGGGGCAAACAGGACAGAATCCAGTGCCCCGACTGGGACTAGAACCCGGTGTGCCGGCGCCACTAGGTGGAGGATTAGCCTATTGAGCCGCGGCACTGGCCCAGCTGCACACTTCTGATCCAGCTCCCTGCTAATGTGCCTGGGAAAGCAGCAGAAGATGGTCTTAGTGTTTGGGCCCTTGTACCCATGTGGGAGACTTGGATGGAGTTCCAGGCTCCTAGCTTCAGCCTGGCCCCGCTCAGGTTGTTGTAGCCAACTGGGGTGTGAACCAGCACATGGAAGATCTCTCTCTCAGAACTCTTTTAAATAAATAAACCTTTTTTAAATTAAATAATTTATTTGAAAGGCAGAGTTACATAGAGAGTGAGAGAGAGAGAGATTAAGGTCTTCCATCTGCTGACTCACTCTCCAAATGGCCTTAAAGGCTGGAGCTGGACCAGTCTGAAGCCAGGAGCTGCTTCCAGGTCTCCCACACAGTGCAGGGATCCAAGTACATGGGCCATCCTCCACTGCTTTCTCATATGCATTAACAGGGAGCTAAATCAGAAGTGGAGCACCTGGGACTCAGGCAACCAAATGGATGCTGGCATCACAGGTGGTGGCTTTACCTGCTATACCACAATGCTGGCCCCTTGAATAAATAAATCTCAAAAACAAATCAGTGAGAGTTGAGAGTCCCACACAAAACAGATTAGTGGCATGTGCTACACACTCAGTGGGAGATGTTCAGCAGGTACTCGGGCATTTCCATCTGGTGGGAGCTCAGGAGAGGACTGGGAAGGATATGGAATTTAGGAATCAACATTATAAAGATGTTACTTAAGCCACAGGGAGAGAGGCTCAGGACCAAGTGCTGAGGGTTCCAATTATTTTTAGCATGGGTAGAAGAAACAGAAAAGGAGACTAAGATGGGTAGGTAGTGAGATTTGGAGTAAAAAATGAGAGCGTAATGACCCAGAAGACAGCAGTGTTTCAAGATCAAGCCATGTAACTGCATGGCTGAAACAGTCAACTGCTGGTGGCTGGAACAAGATGACAGAAAACTCACTGGATTTTCAGTTCCTCCCCTTCTTGCACCTGGTATGATGTGCCCCCCTCCCCCCCTTTTTTAACCTAGTTAACTCCCAATGACCCTTGAGCATCCAGATCAAACAAACACTATGTGCTCAGGTTCCCCCATGACATGTTCTTAAAGCTCCGGGAACATTTCCTTCAAACAAGAGGGTACAGATGGAATTTCTCAAACACTCGTATTCTCCCCCACTTGAATGTAATCCCCTTAAGGGTTAGTGTCCTTATGCTTGTCCTCATCCACTGCTTCCACTGCCCCATAGCAGAGCACATAATCCATGGCAGGTTTTCAATTAATATTGATCAAACAAGAAATAAATATAGCACCTGGGCCAGAGGTGCTGCTCACTAGGCTAATTCTCCACCTGTGGTGCTGGTACTCCGGGTTCTAGTCCCGGTTGGGGCGCCGGTTCTGTCCCAGTTGCTCCTCTTCCAGTCCAGCTCTCTGCTGTGGCCCGGGAAGGCAGTGGAGGATGGCCCAAGTGCTTGGGCCCTGAACCTGCATGGGCAGGAGAAGCACCTGGCTCCTGGCTTTGGATAGGCGCAGCGCCGGCCGTAGCGGCCATTTGGGTGGGTGAAGCAATGGAAGGAAGACCTTTCTCTCTGTCCCTCACTAACTGCCCGTCAAAGAAAAAAAAAAAAAAAAAAAAAGAAATGAATGCAGCACCCAAAGGGCTTAAGGTGTGTGAATCTGCAAAATTAACAGGAAACTGGGAAGAACAACCAAAAACATTGAGTTAGGGCTACATCTGCCATAAGGAGCAATGGACCCTTTGACAGAGTCCACTAAACACTTTAGTCCAGCCTGGACAGAAAAACCCAGATTTTATTTTTATCTTTCCCCCTTTCTTCCCTTTTACATCTACTTTCTTTGTTCATTTTTCCGGGATCCTCTTCTCTACTCCAACCTGGCTCACCTCACCTTTGGTTATTTTCTGGGTTACCAAGGCACACTGAATGAGATTACAGGAAGTTAATGAGGGAAGGGGTAGGCCAAGGGAAATAAGAGAGCATGATAATAAAGCTCATTAATTGTTACAAAAATGCTTCCAACCAAGAAAAACAGCAGAAAGCAACGTAAGGTCACGTGTAGGAGGCTGGGGTCCCAAATCATTCTACTTTTAAATCCAGGCTCTGTTTGCCTCTGAGCACATTAGTTAAGGTTGCAAACTCAGTTTCCTCCGAATCTATAAAACGGGATGATAACAGTACCTACCTCAAGGGCTGCCCTCAGGATCAGTGAGAAAATCCATTTAATATATTTAGCACCATGACTGGCACAAGGTAAAAGCCCAATTCAAGCTAGCAGTTAACTGTCTTTCTTTAAAGCGCACGGGGACTGCCTAGGTAGTGAACACTTGTCACAGGAATGCGGTAATGCCACACTCACATAGAGGGTCACTTGGAAAGCAGCGGAGCCGGATGGCCTGGCGCTTTCCTTTGGGGCACTGCCAAGACCGTGCCTTCCTGAGAAGATGATCACGGCGGCTTTATAATTTCAAAGGGGCAGGGGAAAAAAATAAGAAAATGTTCATAGAAATCTATTCCGGGTAAAATCTGTTTTTCGTCCATGCAAGCCGCTGCCGACGACAGGTAGGCACCTGCAGCGGGGGAATCAATTCTGGATGTCAGAATGTTCCTTTCAAGGGCCCGCAGGGATACGACCGTGGGGAGGGGGAGCTAGCCCGCCATGATCGGGTCCGTCCTTAGGGGAGTCGCAGGACTAAGTGTGCTGGCAGCAGCTCACCTCCCGTCCTTCACCACGTCTCCACCGTCTCAAGGATGGAATCCTAGACCAGCGTCCCAGTCAACAGGGCGAGTGGCACCTCTCGCTTCCGCGAGGAACCCAGGGGGAGGCGAGACCTTCCGCACCGGGACCGCCCACGAGTCCGCCTCCGCCCATTGGTCACCTCGAGAGCCAAGACCCGCCCCCCACATTTGAAAGCTTCTTCCGGGAGTCGCTGAAAAGCCCTCACTCGAGCCGGTGGCGTTCCGGAAGCCCCGCCCATTCCCAGCGTTCAGTGCGCTGCCCTAGCCGCCATTGTTTGAATTTGAAAACGAAAACATCGTGGTGCTGCATGAGGGTTCGGCTGGTCCTGTGATGTTTGCAGGTGAGATGGTCAGCCGGTTCGGGGAAGGTGGGCGACTGAGCAGATAGCGCGCCTGAAGTGGGAAACGGCTGCAGTGAGTAAGCAACTACGTAGTAGCACGGTGGAGCTCGGCGAGAATTGAGGCAGGTTACTTGGGTTAGGGTTTAAATCTCGTCTCTCCCGCCGATTACCTGAGTGACGCAAGGGGCTTTATTAGTCTCTGTAGGCCCGGTTCCGTATCTGTTAAAAGGCGGTAATAGTAGTACCCGCTTCGGACTCTTGGGAAGATTAAATGATAATGTGTTAAGCTTGCTGGAAACAGTGCTGGCACGCAGTAGACCCTTTCCAGTGGGTAATGCTTTTACTGTCTTTGCTTCTGTTGTCGCGCCTCTTGCGAAAGCGAGGTCCCTGAATCCTTCAGGTGGGCAGTTTGCGTGGCGGCTGACACGCCCCTGTTTGGGATGCGCCATCTGAATTGATTTCCATCCGTTCCTGGGAGCGCTTGGAGCTCGCCAATGAAGGGATTTGCAGGGCCAGGCGGAGGGGGTGTGTTTGGCAGTGACTGCTGTAGTCTTTCAGTTTAGAAGACTTCCCGCATCTCATCCTGTTCCTGATTCCTGTCGGGCACGGTTCTCTAATATTCCTCCGTGAGGACTAGCTGACGAAGTTCATGTCTTGTGAGTTAGCTCCTGAATCTCTGTGGAAGGTGGTCAAATTTAGCTCTGTTTCTCGTTTAGAACAAGGGAACGTGTTTATACAGTTCATCCAGGAGCAGTATAGCAGTGTATATATTTTATTAGATGTCCAAGACCCCAAATTTTAAGCTGCAGATTGATAGAAAGGACTCATAAATTATGTGTGAACAGCTTTTGGAGGTTGTATGTTGTGGATCAGATTCAGAAACCTCGCGCATTAGCAGATTCTGGTTTTTCACCTGAGTCTTCAATCGTGGAGCCTCCCTGGAGAGGAGATGGAGTTTTCCAGTCATGAGAATAGGCTTTTGAAGTGAGAAATTGGATCTTGAACCCTGCAGTCACTAAAGACAGCATCACTTAACGGAACTTCACAGAGTAGGACCTTGTTTCTTTTCTTTTTTCTTTCCCCAGAGAGATTTTATTTATTTTTAAGTTTTTTTTTTTTTTTTTTAAGGTACTGGACAGGGAGTCTTTATCATAACATAAGTCATTTGATTTGTTGTTGGAGATACAGAATGGTGTAAGACAAAGTCCTTGCCTTAAAGAAATATCGAGTTAGGTCATATACATGTCATCTAAAATTACAAGAAGTGACAGTATCTCAAAAGTTTAAAAATATTAGGAAGTAGTTTATTCATTGGAAATGAACATATGGACAAATACAAACTACTTTATTGTAACTTTGCAGAAATAGTTTTAATCAACAATTTAAGAAAGCTTTATTAACATTCTTTAAAATCAAGTTAATTGAAGCTACAGAGTCAAGATTATTTTGTTTTGTGGGTATTTCCAGGAAATATGCGTTATGAAATGTCAAGTTAGTACTTTAATCGTTTTTGCAAACTTTTCTCCCGTGTTCCAGATAAGTGATTAGTTTTTGCTATAGTATGTACCACTTTTCTTCAAAGATTTTTTTTTTTTGAAAGAGTGACAGAGAAAGAGAACGCACTTTGATTCTCTGGGTTCACTCTCTGCCCCCAACAGCCAGCGCTGAGCCAAGCTGGAGCCAGGAGTTAGGAACTCTCTCTGGGTCTGCTGCCTCGGTGGCGGGAACCAAAGTCCTTGAATTGCTATCCATCGCCTCCCAAGAGCACTAGCAGGAAGCTGAATCTGAAGCATGCAGTTGTCGGGACTTGAACGCACACTCCGATACGGGATGTGGGCATCCCAAGCTACAGCTTTAACCCACTATGCCGCGGCACCTGGCCCTTGTTCCCCTTTTGTTCATTTTCAACTATAAGTTGCATGTTTGAGATATTCTGTCAAACTATGCTTTAATAATTTTCCCATTTTTATTACATCAGTGATTATAGTAAAAATAGAAGTACTAAAGATGTGAAGCTTGGTGTGCCCTGTCTTTTATCCACTACTGCCAGCTCCTTCTGCCAGTCCGGATGCTGCTTGTGTGCTGGTTCAGTGTGGACGTGGTAGCTCTTTTGTGAAGCAGCAGCTGAGGAGACTCTAGTGCTTGCCATGGCTGATGAAAAGCCCAAGGAAGGAGTCAAGACTGAGAACAACAATCATTGATTAGAAGGCGGCGGGGCAGGATGGTTCTGTAGTGCAGTTTAAGATAAAGAGGCGTACACCAGTTAGTAAACTAATGAAAAATCTGTTGTGAATGACAGGGTTTGTCAATGAGGCAGATCAGATTCCGATTTGAGAGACAGCCAGTCAACGAATCAGACACACCGGCACAGTTGGAAATGACAGACAGAGGTACTATTGAAGTGTCCCAACAGCAAACAGGGATCCACTGCTTACTCCAGAACTCTGTCCTTAAAGACCAGGAACACATTCTCAACCAGAGAAGTGCATCACGTCCTCATTACTGCAGCATAGTTTTCTCTGTTCTTTCATTTCTCCTTCCCATTCCTTTATTGTACATTTATTGATGTGTATGTGTAAGCATATTGTATTTTTTCTTTTCTTTCTCTCTCTTTTTTTTTTTATTTTTTTGACAGGTAGAGTGGACAGTGAGAGAGAGAGAGAGAGAGAAAGGTCTTCCTTTACTGTTGGTTCACCCTCTAATGGCCACTGCAGCCGGCGCACCGCACTGATCCAAAGGCGGGAGCCAGGTGCTTCTGGTCTCCCATGGGGTGAAGGGCCCAAGCACTTGGGCCATCCTCCACTGCACTCCCTGGCCACAGTAGAGAGCTGGCCTTGAAGAGGGGCAACTGGGACAGAATCTGGTGCCCTGACTGGGACTAGAACCTGGGGTGCTGGCGCCGCAGGCGGAGGATTAGGCTATTGAGCTGCGGCGCTGGCCTACTCTTTCTCTCTTTTTTTAACTAAAAGGCCAATGGTATGTTTTGATTGACATTAAATGGAGATGGAATTGGAAAAAATCCTGGTTCTGTGAAAATATCCCCGTTCTGCAATAGTGGCATGCTCATTCAGCTCTTATCTTTATATTCCAGTAAGTTAATTTGCTCTCACTGTTCTAACAAACAAATAAAAAACCCAAAAATGACAACGTAAAATCCTTGCATACCTTGTTTGATTGGAGAATTTTGATGTTTTTTATCTATCTTTGTAAAACCAAGGACAGTTTTATAACCTTTTCGTGTGTAGCTGTTGCATGTAGGGCAATCTTTTTTTTTTTTAAGATTTATTTTATTTATTTATTTGAAAGATAAGGTTACAGAGAGAGGCAGAGAGAGAGAGAGGTATTCCATTGATGGTTCACGCCCCAGATGGAACTGCGCCGATCCAAAGCCAGGAGGCAGGAGCTTCTTCTGGGTCTCCCATGCGGGTGCAGGGGCCCAAAGACGTGGGCCATCTTCTGCTGCTTTCCCAGGCCACAGCAGAGAGCTGGATCTTAAGAGGGGCAGCCGAGACAAGAACCGGCGCCCAAATGGGATGCCAGCACTTCAGGCCAGGGCTTTAACCTGCTGTGCCACAGCACCTGCCCTGGCAATCTACCTTTAATAGGAGTAAATTACTCTTTGAAAAAATGAATCCTAGTTAGTTTTCCCTTTAAATCAAGCATCTTGTTGTTTAAATAAACTTCTTGTTTAAAATGAAAAAAAATGCAAAATTTGTTGAATTGTACAGTTAATTTTATAGTTTACTGGGCTTTATTAAAGATGAATGCATAATTTCCTTAGTCTTTTTGTAATTTAGGGAGAAAAACCAACAGTGCTGTTAGAATTTTGACAGTTTTAGAGGTGGTTGATGAAAAAGATATGATCCCAGCCGGGCAATAGTAGACTAGAAGCTTTGTTTGGACAGGGCTTTGACAGTTTGACAGGATTGCTTGCTGGGAAGGTCCCTGTCAGCTTCGCCTTTCCCTAGACAATGGTGAGAGGCTACCACCCAAGGGTCATAGGGCATAGGAAATTGACAGAGAGGGAGGGTAGAGTCATTGAAGAGGCTTGTTTGTCTAAGGGTGTTGCTCTGTAGTGCCTTGGGGAGTCTTTGGATCTCAGAATATTGAAGAGCTGCAGCAGTGTGGAGGTCATGGTAGTCCCTGGTTTTATTTGTGGCTAGTGGATGTTGAGTGCAGTTTCATGGGATGTTCATACAAGGCAGACTCTAAATGGCTAACAGTATGCTCTTCTGGGCTAAATTTAAAGAAAATGGACGAATATTTGAGTTTGGTGTTGTAATGGGCTTTTTTTGTTTGTTTTTTAACTTTTCACCAGATTTGTATTTCCGCTTTACATCTATTACAGTGATTGAAACTGAAAGAAACACATTTTCTCTACAAATTTGGGTGGCAAATAAATCTATTTGTCTGGACTCAGCACACTCAGTGCCACAGGTCCTTGGCCTATGTCTGCTCTGAAATCATGAAGCTTTGTCTACTCAAAAAACTTTTGAACTACTTTCTGAAGCCAGGAACCCTAGTTTGAGAGTTGCTGTTCTGGATATTTTATAATCTTGTCAAACATCACCAAGTCCTCCCTTTCTCCTTGGTATTTTGCACATATTAGAGGCCCAGTATCTTTTTGAGTATTTTTTTTTAAGTAAGGTCACCCTTAAGCTTACCTTAAGTTTAGTTTGCTGTTTCATTCAGTTGTAATAATTTACTGAGGCGTTATTTCGTATTTAATTTATTAAGGACCTATTATGTGTCGGGCACTGTTTTGTATGTGTTTATATACGTTATTTTACTTTTTACTGCATTGAATTGAAAGTAATTTTCTAGATAACTGAGTTTAAATACTAAAGCCAAATCTGTAAGTAACAATGTTTACAAGATACTAAGTAACTCAGACAATACAAAGTTAAAATTTATTCCATGATTTCCTTAGTATTTAATTTCTGAGAGGATGTCAGGCAAAATAAGAATATTTTATACTGCCCTTAGTCATGAAATCTCTTTGGATGAATCTATTCAAAGCTTAAATCTTATAAACATTAGTAGAATATGTTTAATATTATTGTATTCAGAATCTGTATATATAGTGTGATCTTTTCTCTTTTTCATAGGTTATTGTATTGTCAATGAAGTTGTCTAAGGTTTTCTGTTTGATATCTAGTTATTTGAGGTGAAGTAGTTGGTTGAACTCTTAGGCTTTTTAAACTTTGACTTATATGCTGACTTACTAAAGATGCTTAAAGAAGATGCTGTTATTCTTACAGAATGGAGTCTAATTTGAATCAAGATGGAATGCCCAGACCATCTTATGTTTTTAGTGCTGACCCAATTGCAAGGCCTTCGGAAATAAATTTTGATGGCATTAAGCTTGATCTCTCTCACGAGTTTTCCTTAGTTGCTTCAAAGACTGAGGTAAGTATAAGAAAAGTATTATGAAGATTATCCTGATTGAATGGAAAAAGTTTATGTGTGGGTACACTTATTATTGTGACTAGAACAGAGATTCCCATCCTTTCTGGGTTTAAGGCAACATTGTATCTCAGCAACTTTTTCATGAAAGCTTTAGGCTAGAATAAATACTTGCAGTTCCTTTTCGAGTAGGTATAAATAACTTAGTATGCTCTAACCTCATAGCCATTTGAAAAAAGTAAAATGAAAAAAATTTAAATTTTTTTTCTTTGATAACTAGCAGTATTACTATTGGGATTTGTTTCTTTTGGGCATTGTACAACTTCTCAAACATTGTAATCAATTAGACTTTGCTACTCTCACATCCTGATTTTCATGTAATACTTGGTTTTTATCACAATCACTGAAAGGTGCAGTTTAGCAAAGATATGACATCATCAAAAGGAATAGTGTGATCAAATGTTGAAACTGTGAACCTCCTCTAACTATTCATGCTAAAATATGTCAAGTATTGCTTATCCAAAACCAGGATCCAGGAGCTTCTAACATGTCTCCCACATGGTTGTGGGTCTTGGGCCATCCTCCACTGCTTTCCCCGGGCACATTAGCAAGGAGCTGGATTGGAAGTAGAGCAGTTGGGATTCAAACTGGTGCCCATATGGGATGCTGATGCTGCAGGCTGGGGCTTTAACCCGCTGCACCACAGTGCCATCCCCTAACTTGGCAAAATCGAGCTAAGAGACAGACAAAAGAATAGTACTTATTTAATACTGGTGTTTCAGGACTCAAATATCTAAATATTTGAGCTCATTTAATCATAAATAAAAGAAGGAAGAAAAGATAGAAGGAAGGAAGGAAGGAACTCCATGATCAGTGCCTCTTAGTACATAAATGGAATCATTTATTACATAGTTGCTTATGCCTGCCTTCTTTCATTTAACAGAATGATAGGCAAACAGTGGCCTGTTTTTATGTTACTTGTTTTTGAACTTGTGTACAAGTTATGAGTTGTTTTACATTTTTAAATAGTTGAAGAAAAAAGAGTATTCTATGACATGAAAATTATGTGAAATTCAAACTGCACTCCCCATAACTAAAGTCCTGTTGAATAACAGCATACTGATTGCTGTACTTACTGTCTGTACCTGCTTTGCACTATAATGACAGAGTCCAGTACTTATAGCAGAGACTGTCAGGTCTTTAGAGCCTAAAATGCTAATTATTTGGCTTTTTAGAAAAAAAATTGACTCCTGACTTAGAATATTTTTGAGAGTCATGCATTATATGTCAATAGTTTGATGCTTTGTATTGCTCTGTAGTAGTTCTTTGTGTGAATGTTCCACATTCCCAACTTTTCCTTTCAAGGAATATTTTAGATCTTCTGGGTCCTTTGTGTATTCAGAATCGAAATCTGATTTTTTGAATCAGTTATCGTAATGTATAGGAGTGAAATTGACATTTTGAGTTTCAATGATTGTTTATAGCCATTGTCTTGACTGTTAAGGAACAGTATTTTCTCTTCATATTATTTATTGAATGCTTTATTTAGTGTAGGGTTAATGTTATGAGTATAAAGTAAACTCATAAAAAATCTTTATAAAAGAGTGGGATTAGGAGAGGAAGGAGGAAGATGGGTGGGAGGGAGAGTAGGGCGAGAATAATCACTGTGTTTTTGAATCTTTATATATGAAATACAGGAAAATCCAGTTTCCAGTTTGTACAAAACAACTTGTTAAGATTTTTGAGTGGAATTGTTCTGTGGATCAATTTGGAGAGAACTGATATTTTAATAACATCGAGTCTTCTTTTTTTTTCTTTTTTTAAAAGATTTATTTTTTATAAATATACTTTGTTTTAAAAAAAATTTATGTATTTATTTGAAAGTCAGACTTTTTTTTTTTAAAGATTTGGGGCTGGTGCTGTGTAGCAGGTTAAAGCCCCAGCCTGCAGCGCTGACGTCCCATATGGGCACTGGTTCGAGTCCTAGCTGCTCCACTTCTGATCCAGCTTTTTGCTATGGCCTGGGGAAGCAGTGGAAGATGGCCCAGGTCCTTGGGCCCCTCTACCTGCATGGGAAACCTGGAAGAAGCTCCTGGTTCTTAGCTTTGGATCAGCCCAACTCTGGTCGTTGTGGTCATCTGGGGAGTGAACCAGCAGATGGAAGACTCTCTCTCTTTCTCTGGCATTCTTTCTCTGAACATTTCTGTACAACTCTTTGAATGAATAGATATTTCAGTTTTTTCTCATATAAATAACTAGGGTTAGATAATTTTTTAAGAAACTACAGAACTTTTCTAGCGTGACTGTACCTTTTTTTTTTTTTTAATTCATTTATTAATTAGAAAGGCAGTGTTACAGAGAGAAAGGTGGAAGCAGAGAGAGTGATCTTCCATCTACTGGTTCACTCCCCAAATGCTTGCAACAGCCAGGGCTGGGCCAAGGTGAACCTAGAGCCAGGAGCTTCAATTTGGTCTCTCACGAGGTCAACAGGGTCCCAAACACTTGGGCCATCTGCTGCTTTCCCAGGTCATTAGTAGGGAGCTGGATCGGAAGTGGGACAGCTGGGACTCAAACCGGTGCTCATATGGGATGCTGGTGCTGCAAGCAATGGCTTAACCCACTGTACCACAGTGCCGGCCCCTGATTATACCATTTTATATTGCCACCAGCAGGATATGAATTTTAATTCCCCCATGCCCTCACCAATACCTGGTATCGTCACTTTATAGTTTAGCCTAGGCAGTATATACTGATACCTAACTGGTATTTGTATATTTTCACTAATGGTGTTGAACATGTTTTCATATACTTGTCATTTGTTTCTGTTTGAAGTATCTAGTTAAATATTTGCCAATTAAAAAAATTTTAAAAAATTGAGTTTTCTTACTGAATTTTGAGTGTTCTTTATATATTCTGGATATATTTGCTTTATCATATATATACTTTGCAGAAGCTTTCTCCTAGTCTGTGGCTTTTCCTTTCAGTCTCTTACAAGTTTATTAAAGAGCAGAAGCTTTAATTTTTTAAAAATTTACCTTTTAATTACATTTTTCATATTTTGAGGAGAGAAGGCAGAGATGAGAGGCAAACAGGCAGAGCTCCTATCTGCTGGCTCACTCCCCAGCTGCCTATAATAGCTGGGTCAAGGTCAGGACCAAAGCTGGAAGTAGAGTATACAATCCAGGTCTTTCAGGGCATGGTAAGAACCCTTTGTTTGAGCCATTACTGATGCCTTCCAGGGTCTACATTGCTGGGCAGCTGGTGTCAGGTTTAGTCTGGAATACAATCTAGGCACTCTGGTGTTGGATATGGGTGCCTTAATTACTAAACACCCACTCTTATTCTTTTAATGTGGTGGATTGCCCTGGTTGACACTGAACTGAGTTTACATTCCTGGGTTAAGCCGCTTCTTGTGATGTCTGTATCCCACATGGGAGTGCACAGGATTGAGTCTGGCCTCCGCTTTCCAATCTAGCTTCCTGTTAATGTACTGCAGAAGGTGGCTTACGTACTTGGATTCCTGCAACCTACGTGTGAGATACAGATGGAGTTCCTGGCTCCTGGCTTTGGCCTGACCCAGCCTGACTGTTGTGGGTATGGGTGCTGTGAACCAGCATGTGAAAGATTCTCTTTTTCTCTTTCTCTGTGTCACTCTGCCTTCCAAATAAATAAAAGTAAATAAATAAGAAAGCATAAAATACTTTTTTTTTTTTTAAGGTAAACAGTTTGGAATCTAAAGATTATCTCCAAGTTTGTCTTCGAATAAGACCATTCACACAGTCTGAGAAAGAACATGAGTCAGAGGTTTGTGTTAAATTTATTTTGCACTTTAACATTTTACTTCTCTTAAACAGTAGAATGCCATTGTTCTTATTTATGGTTGGGGTATGTTCTAGGGCTGTGTGCATATTCTGGATTCACAGACTGTTCTGTTGAAAGATCCTCAAAGCATCCTTGGTCGCTTAAGTGAAAAAAGCTCTGGGCAGTTGGCACAGAAATTCAGTTTTTCCAAGGTAAGTACTTCTGTGAAACTCAATTTTTTTTAAAAGATTTATTAATCTGTAAGGTAGAGTTCCAGAGAGAGATAAAGAGAGAGAGATGGTTTAGTCCCAAATGGCTGCAATGGATAGGGCTGTGTCAGGCCAAAGCCAGGAGCCAGGAGCTTCTTCTGGATTTCTTACATGGGTACAGGGGCCCAGGGACTTGGGCCATCTGCCACTGCTTTCCCAGGCACATTACCAAGGAGCTGGATTGGAAGTGGACCCACCGGGACTTGAACCAGTGCCCATATGGTGCATATGCTGGCCCTGCAGGCCGTGGCTTAACTTGCTGCTCCACAGCACCTCAAGTTTTTTTTTTTTTTTTTTTAAAGAAAGAGACTTGCATCTGCCCTGTATCTCAGAGGTTATTATGAGGTTCTGGGAGATATTTTAGGAATTTTACACCCAAGAAGCCTTCCTCTACCTAGGGAGACATCCCCAGATAGGGAGGAGGGACTGGGCTATCAGTTCTTTCCTGAGATGCCCTCGTGGTCTCTCAGGTATATGTCTTCACTATGCTATAAAAAACTAAGACTTGGCTTAGGCTAAGTTGCTATATAATTATGTATCATGAACCATTTTTATGGAGCTTAGGAGCTTAGGTACTGAGGTACTGGTATTTTGTCCTTAAGGACAGGACTTAAATTTCTGGTCTGTGGATACAGAATCAAAGTAAATAAATTGCCCTAATGTTTTTAAAATTCAATTAAAAAAAGTTTATTTTTCACTTGAAAGCCAATTGTAGAGATACAGAAAGAGATCTTCCTTCCACTGGCTTTTTTCCCATATGACCACAGCTGCCTGAGCTGGTTCAGCCTGGATCCAGGAGTCAGAAATTCCTCCTGGTTCTCCCAAATGGTTGGCGGGTGCCTGAGCAGTTGGACCATCTTTTGCTTTTTCAGGCACGTTAGCAGGGAGCTGGGTGGGAAAGGGAGCCGCTGGAACTCAGACTGATGCCGGTTTCACAGGTGGTGTTTAACCTGCTGTGCCATAGTGCTGCTCCCCTCTTTTTTTTTTCTCTCCCAAAAAATGTTCTTTTCAAAATTTAGAGGAAAACTTGCTTCGTTGGATGGGTCAGATTTTTGTCTTGATTACTTTCTGGTAGCAGTTAAGCTGTCAAGCATATTTGAGAGTAGAGATGTGGCATCTGTTTTAAGAATGAATTATAAAAGAAATCTTAAAAATTTTTTAAGTGTAAGAAGCAGAGTGGAACTTATTATGACTATTAAGTTGAATTTTGTAAAATGCCCTGTTTTACAAATGCTTTCTTAGGTTTTTGGCCCAGAAACTACGCAGAAGGAATTCTTTCAGGGTTGCGTTATGCAGCCAGTAAAAGACCTCTTGAAAGGACAAAGTCGGTTAATTTTCACTTATGGGCTAACCAATTCTGGAAAAACATACACATTTCGAGGTAAATATTTTTTTATTTTGGCTGGGAAGAGAGAAGAAGTAACGTTAGCTCAGTGTTTTCATAATACTTACATGTAGTTATGTTTCCATCCCTTAGTACATATTTACTCACCTAGCATATTGATTATGTATTTCTGATATTAGTTCAGATTTACATAGTTAGCTTGTAAAACTATTTTCCCCATATGGTAGAGAGTAGGATGATGATTAAAAAATCAGATGTGATTCAGGTAATTAAGCATGGCTGTCTATGGACACATTATATTTCTTTTTTAAAAGATTTATTTATTTATTTGAAAGTCAGAGTTACATAAAGAGAAGGAAAGGTAGAGAGAGAGAGAGAGAGAGATAGGTCTTCCATCTGCTGGTTCACTCCCCAAATGACCACAATGGCCGGAGCTTTGCCGATCCGGAGCCAGGAGTCAGGAGCTTCTTCCAGGTCTCCCACGTGGGTGCAGGGGCCCAAGCACTTGGGCCATCTTGTACTGGTTTCCCAGGCCATAGCAGAGAGCTGGATTGGAAGTGGAGCAGCTGGGACACAAACTGGTGCCTATATGGAATGCCGACACTAAAGTCGGCGGCTTTACTCGGTACGCCACAGTGCAGGCACCTATATTTCATTTTCCTTTTATACTTTGTGATAACGAGTGATTGCAAATATTAATATTCTGGCTTGATCTGAATGTAAAATTTTAGGATTTATATCCGAATAGTAGTTGATAAAATGTTAGTACAGTGAAGACCAAAGTGATAGAAAACTGAGTAATTTCTCACCTTTTCTCACTTTTGTTTTTAGCTGTTTGCTTTATTATTTACAGTATGAAAACTTTAACAGTCTGTGAAAGCTTCCTTTTTCCTACTAGTCTGAGAGGCTATTACACAAAAATTATTATTACAGGCACCGAAGAAAACATTGGCATTCTTCCTCGAACTTTGAATGTATTATTTGCTAACCTTCAGGAAAAATTATACACAAAGATGAACCTTAAGCCACATAGATCTAGAGAATATTTACGGTTATCACCAGACCAAGAGAAAGAAGAAGTTATGACCAAAAGTGCATTGCTCCGGCAAATTAAAGAGGTATGGAAGTATTTTAGTGTGTAATAGATTTAATATATATAAATGTAATATAAATCATGATCTTTTATAAACTCTTTAGATTGTTTCAGCCTATATTAGGTTGTTTGTAGTAGTTTTTTCTATTTGAGAAAAATATTAAAGTTTCTTTGAAAACTCTCATACAAGCAATAAGAATGTTTAAACATTACAAATGTAAGTGGTTCTGAAAATTATTTTTGGTTGTTGTAGAACCAACAATGTACTTTTTAAGTAATGATTTATAAAGATTCTGCTTTTTACTTGTAAAAGTATTCTGTACACACAAAATTGAAACAAGGTAATATTTGAAATAAAAAATGTGTTTCTTATAATTGCATTCTTGGTTGAAAATGATGTTAACAGATTATAAAGTGTCCTTTCTGGAATTTTTCTCTCTTTAGAAAATCCACACACAGCTTTCTATAACCTATGTATAGACACACGGTTTTATATAGATGGTTTTATGTATCTTCATATAATTGTACTATATGTAGTATTTTTTTTTTGAAAAAGTGTGATCATACTATGCTTTTCTATAAATGTCTCTGTCATTTAGCTATGTTTTTTCAAAGATACTTGGTAGGTTGAGTGACAGGAGAGAGGAGGGGAAAGAGAGAGCAATAACAGGTACTGATCTTCTATCTGCTGGTTCATCCCCAAATGGCCTCAACAGTTGGGCAGTTGGGGTTGGACCAGGCCAAAGCCAAGAGCCTGAACTCCTCCGGGTCTCCCATGTGGGAAGTGGGAACCCAATTACCTGGGCCGTCTACTGCTGCTTTTCCAGGCACATTAGCAGGGAGCTGAATCAGCTGGCCAGGACTAGAACCGGTATTCCAATGTGGGAAACTGGCATTGCGTACAGTGGCTTTACTAACTGTTCCCACAATGCCAGCCCCACATTAATTTCTTTTTAATAAATCAGTTCTTGCAATCAGAAAAAAAAATAGAAAAATGGGCAAGAAACATACCTGACAATTCACAGAAAAATTCAAATATTGTTAGTCACCTCATTTATAATTAAAGAAGTATAAATGTGCCCAAGTAATACCACTTCTCACCTATCAGACAAGAAGTCATTAAATATGCAATATTGGCCGCAATTAGAAAAATTCATAATAAATACATTGGCAATAGAATGAATCATTGTTTAAAATAATGAGTGATTAAAACCATACAAAGGTCCATTGGTCGCAGATTGTTTTTAAAAATATACTTTAGGCCAGTGCCGCGGCTCACTAGGCTAATCCTCCGCCTGCGGCACCAGCACTCTGAATTCTAGTCCCGGTCGGGGCGCTGGATTCTGTCCCAGTTGCTCCTCTTCCAGTCCAGCTCTGCTGTGGCCCGGGAGTGCAGTGGAGGATGGCCCAGGTCCCTGGGCTCTGCACCTGCATGGGAGACCAGGAGAAGCACCTGGCTCCTGGCTTTGGATCGGCGCAGCACGCCAGCTGCAACACACCTGCTGTAGTGGCCACTTGGGAGGTGAACCAACGGCAAAAGGAAGACCTTTCTCTCTGTCTCTCTCTCTAACTTTGCCTGTCAAAAAATGAAAAAAAAAAAATAAATAAAAATATACTTTAAAAAATCTTTTGACCTCAGAAAGGGCATCAATAAACAAACAAAACAAAAGGCAAAGAACAACTTAAATATAGAACCAAACAGGCAATAGACATAAGATTTAAGGTGGTAAGAAATTTATGTTAGGTCAAGGAGCAGACATTTGGCACAGCCATTGGGACGTTTGCCATCCTGTTTTTTAGTGCTGGATTTAAGTCCAGGCTTCCTTCTAGCTTTTTGCTGATGCACAGCCTGGGAGGCAGCAAGTAATAGCTCAAGTAGTGAGATCCTTATTTCCTGCTTGGGAGACCTGGACTGAGTTCCAAGCTCCAAGGCGTTTGGGGAGTGAATCAGAGGGTGGAAGTTCTTTCTTCCTGTATCGCAAAAAAAAAAGGGGTGGGGTGGGGGGCTGGTGTTTGCAGGCCAGCAGGTTAAGCTGCCTTTTGTGATGCTGCCATTCTCATATCTGAATGCAGGTTCAAGTCCTGGCTGCTCCATTTCCAGTCCAGCTCCTTGCTCATGGGTCTAGGAAAGCAGCAGATAGCCAAATACTTGGGGCCCTGCCACACATGTGGTAGAACCGGATGGCCTGGCCCTGGCTGTTGTGACCATTTAGAGAGTGAACCAGTGGATTGAAGATCTCTCTGTCTTTCCCTCTCTCTCTGTCACTCTGCCTTTCAAATAAATCACATTTTCCATATTATTTTTTCCTTCCCTTGGCCCCCATTTTTTTTTTTACCTTAAAGATTGTATTTATTCAAGAGGCAGAGTTGCAGACTGAGAGACAAGGAGAAAGGCATTGGTTTTTCAATATTCATTTATTCAGTAACTTTTTATTATGGCATCTATTATGGTCTAGACAGTGTTTTAAGTTGAGGAAAAATGATAGTACCCTCTTGGAGACTGGCTTAGTCCATTTTCTGTTGCTAAATGAATTCCACAGATTGAGTAATTTATAAAGAGTATGGGTTTATTTTCAACTTGCAGTTCTAGATTCCAGGAGGGCCTCCATGGTCAAGGGGCTGCCTCTGGTGGGGCCTTCCTGCTAGTGGGAATTTACTGGAGAGTCCCAAGGCAGTGCAGGGCATCATATGATGAGAGGGGAACACTGTGAGAAATGGAGCTTAACTGGCTTTATAACAGACCCACTCCAGGGAGCCCATTAATGTACTAATCTGCTATGAGTAGATTTACCTACTCGGGAGAGCAGAATGCGTATGACCTAGTCATTTCTTTTGTTTATTCCTGCCCCCCCCCCCCAAAAGATTTTTCTCTTCAAAAGGCAGAGTAACAGAGAGATACAGGGAGATCTTGCATTCTCTGTTTAGATTCTCAAATCTGAAGCCAGGAACCAGGAGTTTCCTCTGGGTCTCCCACATGGGTGCAGGGTCTTAAGTACTTGGGTCATCTGCTGCTGCTTTCCCATTTTCCCAGGTTGCACTAGACTGGTGCCCATATAGGATGCTGGTAGTCAGGCCCCCTCTCCCCAGCGCTGTTCCCTAATCATTTCTTTCTTTCTGTAAAGTTTTTTTTTTTTTTTTTTTTTTTTTAATTGGAAAATCATAGTTACAGAGAGAGGAGGAGAGACAGAGAGAGAACGTCCATCCACTGGCTCACTCCTCAAATTGCAACAATGGCTGGGCCTGGGCCATGCTGAAACCAGGAGCCCAAGCACTGGATCATCTTCTGCTGCCTTCCCAGGCATATGAGCAGGGAACTGGATAGGAAGAGGAACAGTTAGGTCTCAAACTGGCGCCCATATGGGATGCTGGACTTGGAGGTGGGGGCTTAACCTGCTGTACCACAGTGCTGGCCCCTGGCCTCCTAATCATTTCTTTCTTTCTTCCTTTCTTTTTTTTTTTTTTTAATTTTTTTTTTGACAGGCAGAGTGGACAGTGAGAGAGAGAGAGAGAGACAGAGAGAAAGGTCTTCCTTTGCCGTTGGTTCACCCTCCATTGGCTGCCGCGGCCGGCGCGCTGATCCGATGGCAGGAGCCAGGTACTTATCCTGGTCTCCCATGGGGTGTAGGGCCCAAGCACTTGGGCCATCCTCCACTGCACTCCCTGGCCATAGCAGAGAGCTCGCTTGGAAGAGGGGCAACCGGGACAGTATCCGGCGCCCTGACCGGGACTAGAACCCGGTGTGCCGGCGCCGCAAGGCAGAGGATTAGCCTAGTGAACCGTGGCGCCGGCCTCCTAATCATTTCTTAAATGTCCACCCTGATCCTACCTTTTAATTCACTATTTGGGAAATTAAATTTCAGTGATTTTTGTGGGACATACATTCAGACAATAGCAGAGACTGACAATAAATTATAGAAGAACAATTAGATAATATGCTATGAGGAGGTTGTATTTTATATAAGGTAAGACTTTTATAATTTTTTTGTCTGTTTTTTTCTCCATATGTCTTGAGTTTTGAATTATATTTCCGACATTTATCTTATTCAAGATAGTTAAAAAGTATTAGCAGTTTTTATAAGTATTTTCAAAATATTAGTGGGGATTTTCTTTAATTTTAAAGAAATTTGGAAATCAAGGTTTAATGAAAATAAGAAAAAGTGTTTCATTCAGTGGAGATCAAATTTCAGAGTCTATGACTATGGTCTGTGAAAGTTAAAATAGTAAATGTCTTAACAAAAATTATAAAAGTTGATGGATAGGGGGCTGGTGCCGTGGTTCACTTGGTTAATCTTCCGCCTGCGGCGCTGGCATCCCATATGGGCGCTAGGTTCTCCTTTTCCAGTCCAGCTCTCTGCTGTGGCCTGGGAGGGTAGTGGAGGATGGCCCAAGTGCTTGGGCCCTGCACCTGCATGGGAGACCAGGAGGAAGCACCTGGCTCCTGGCTTCAGATTGGCACAGCGCTGGCCGTAGCAGCCATTTGGGGAGTGAACCAATGGAATGAAGATCTTTCTCTCTGTCTCTCTCTCTCTCACTGTCTATAACTCTACCTGTCAAATTAAAAAAAAAAAAAGTTGATGGATAATTGCATAGGTAATTCAGAGGAAATGAGCATCATTAGTAAGGAAGAAAATTTTCTCTAGTTATCCAGTAAAATATTATTTTGTCTTTGAATTTTCAGTAATGTTAAAAAAATGACATTCTCCTTTATATATTGTAAAATATTTCTAGAAAGCATTTTGGTACTACTATGGTAAGGGTGAAAAGTAAAGTTTTTCATCTTTTCATCCCCTAATTCAGTTTCAGTTATCTATTTTGAGGAAATAATTAGAATATAGAAGGAAATATTTAAAATGTTTATCCTAGTATTTTTTTCTGGCAAAACTTGGCAATAATAATTAATTAAGTAATTTTTCCCTACAATTAATAATGGAATAATTAATTTTCATCTATTCAGTTACATAGACATCAAATGTTTATAGGTTTTAATTTGTAGTGAAAAGAAGCATACACTGTGCTGAAGGGACTAGAAGGAGAATATATTGAGATATTAACTGTAATTACTTCTAACTGGCCAGGGATTGCCTATGATGTTTTTCTTTTTAATATCCTGTAGTTTCCCAGATTTCCACTCACAAGATTATATTAAACTAAGAACAGTTTAATAAGCAAAGGTCAATGTGGATGATGGATTTTAATTTGGTTGATGACTCATTTGGGTAGATAATTAATACCTTGGTTACTAACTAAACATGTTTTTAACTTTATAAAACTTTCTCTTTTAGGTTGTTATGCATAATGACAGTTGTGATACTCTTTATGGTAAGGTTTCCTTTCTCACCTTTTATTTGTTGATCATCTGAAATACATTTGAAAAGCTTTTAGTGTTTATTTTCTGAGAGATTGACAGAGAGAGGAGAGTTTCCTTCCATCTGCTACTTTACTCCTCAGATGCTTGCAGCAACTTGTGGCTAGGCCAGGCCAAGAACCAGGAATTCAATTCAGATTTTCCACACGGTGCACAGACCACACCACTTTAGACCTCACTGCTGCTTTCCAGGCTCCGCATTAATAAGAAGTCAACATTAAGAGCTAGAGCTAGAAATTGAACCCAGTCTCTGCTATAGGGCATGGATATATCAACCAGTGCTTAACTGCTAGGCCAAACACCTTCCCCAGCTTTTCATTTAAAAAATTTTAATTATGGCTGGTCTTGTGCTGTAGTGGGTAAAGCTGCTATCTGTATCACCGGCATTTGCACTGGTTTGAGTCCCAGCTGCCCCATTTCTGATCCAGCTCCCTGCTCATGCACCTGGGAAAGTAGCAGAAGATGGCCCAAGTTTTTGGGACCCTGCACTCATGTGGGAGACCTGGAAGAAGCTCCTGACTCTGGGCTTCGGGCTAACCCAGCCCTGGCATTTGTGGCCATTTGGGGAGTGAACCAGTGGATGGAAGACCTCTGTCTTTGTCTTTCCCTCTTCTTTTTTCTCTCTCTCTAACTCTACCTTGCAAATAAATAAACAAATCTTTAAAAAAATTTTAATGAGAAATTGTAATTCTTAATTCTTTTAAAATAAGTTTTAATTTTGAAATTTAATTTAAAAAGCCACAAGGAGTGATTTAATTTTTATGATGTTAAAATTTTTTTTAACAAAAATTATGCATATTTCTTGGGTACTAGTTGATGTTTTGATATGTGTATGTGTTGTATAACTTACAATCAGGGTCAATCTATGAAATCAAGTATTTAACATTTCTTTATGGGAAAAACATCCAAAATCCTATTTTCTGTTTTTGTTTTTTTTTTGGTAGAGAAATATATAGTATATTAACATTGTATGTACTCACCCTATTGTATCATAGAACAAAAGAATGTATTACTCCTATTAGCTAGAGCTTAGAACCTATTAATTGAAATTTAATATCTTTAATACTTAGGTAATATCTGGAAATGTCACACATTTGGATTAAGTTTTACAAATATCCCTTCCACTGGCTATAATTTCAATAATTGAATTCAAGAGGCATGCACGCTTGTTTTTCTTTGCCGTTACATTTAATTTCTGTTTGGTTTATTAGCATATTTTCAAAAAAGAAAGGAAGGATAGAAAAAGCCAAGCTTTGGTTAATCCATATACTATATACACCTTGCTTTGGTTAAAAAATTGTTTAATATAGATGATCATAGGATTAAAGATATTTGGTTTTACAAGTCCAGATGCCTTTATCTGTACTTTTGTCTAATTTTCAATCAGTTGTGAATTTTGATTATCCTTTCTTCTTTTTTTTTTGGTAGGAAGTTTCACCAACTCTTTGAATATTCCAGAGCTTGAAGAATCCCTGAAAGATTGTGAACAGTCTAGCTTGAATATGGATAATAATATAAAATTTTCTGTATGGGTTTCTTTCTTTGAGATTTACAACGAATGTATTTATGACTTGTTTGTTCCTGTATCATCTAAGTTCCAAAAGAGAAAGATGTTGCGCCTTTCCCAAGATGTAAAGGGCTATTCCTTTATAAAAGGTATAATAATGTATAGTTTTATTGCTTCAGAGTTACCTTTTAGACTTTGTGATGTTTATAGGAAAGTAAACAGGAAATAGAAAATTTTTATACTCACTATTAATGTCAAGAGAATAAGAGAAGCATTTGCTTTGGAAAGTGTTTTGGTATGTTTAATAAATGAACATAAAAGGATTTAGTTTAGTATTGTGTTTACTTGAGTATCATCCTTTGGGTTCTTAGTGATGGAAAAAGTTAGATGTGGATAGTCACATTTTTCTGTTATTTTGTAATAATGTCCAAATTTTGAACTGTGAAATGTTACTGTTCTCCCATAATGGTGTTTTTCCAGCCTTTGGAAACCATTTCTCTTAGTTAGAAATATGTATTAATTACATCATGGCCCAGTATATGTGTTTGTGTTTGTGCAATATATATGCATATACAGGTACAACTCAAAGCTTTTCATTTATAAACTTACTATCAAGAATGTGCTGTGATTTTCCAGTATTTTGATTATTCATGTATACAAAATGCTAGTTATGACATTTGTTTCATCATCACTAATGATTGTATTCTGTCTGGTGGCTTTTTTTTTTTCCCTAAGATTTATTTATTTATTTGAAAGGGGGAGTTACAGAGAGAAGGAAACAAAGAGAATCTATCTGCTGTTTCACTCCCCAGCTGGCTGCAATGGGTGGGATTGGGGCAGGCTGGATCCGGGAGCCAGTAGCCAGTAACTTCATCACAGTCTCCTGCATGGATCCGGAGGTCCAAACACTTGGGCCAGTTATACAATGCTTTCCCAGGTGTATTAGCAGGGAGCTGGATCAGAAGTGGAGTAGCTGGGACATAAACTGTTGTCCGTATGGGATGCCGGCATTGCAGGCAGTCAGTGGCTTAACTCTCCATGCTGCAGTGCCAGCTCCTGATGGTGATTTTTTTGTTTTCTTGTGAAATTCTTTCTTTGGTTTGACAGGCAGAGTGAGAGAGAGGGAGAGAGAGAGATCTGGCATCTGCTGGTTGACTCCTCAAATGGCCACAATGTCTGGGGCTGGTCCAGGCTGAAGCCAGGAGCCTGGAACTCCAACTGGATCTCCCATTTAGGTGGCAGGGGCTTAAGCGTTTAAGCCATCCTCTGCTTCTTTCCTGTGTGCATTAGCAGTGAACTAGATTGGAATTAGGACAGCTGGGGCTGAACCCAGGCCTGTTATATGGGCCATTGGCATCGCAAGTCATGGCTTAATCTGCTGCACAACAATGCTACTGCATGGTTAATTTTATGGATTTAATCTATACTATCTTTTGTCTTTTTTTTTGTTTTTTGAGTGTTTAATTATAAGGAATTATACTTGATTTTAGTTCTCTCTTTGGCATTCTTTGAAGAACATTTACTATTTGTGTGTAACTTAAATACTGTAACATCATTATAATCTTTTTAAAAAAATACTTATTTATTTGAAAGAGTTACAAAGAGAGAGAGGGAGAGAGAGATCTTCCATCCACTGGTTCACTCCCCAAATGGCCACAATGGCCAGGGCGGGGCCAAACAAAAGCCAGGGGCCAGGAGCTTCATCTAGGTCTCCCACATGGGCCCAGGAGCCCCAGGATTTGGGCCATCTTCTGGTGCTTTCCCTGGCACATTAGCAGGGAGCAGGATTGGAAGTGGAATGGCTGGGACTTGAATGGGCTCCCATATGGGATGCTAGCACTGCAGGCAGCAGCTTAACCCACTGCACCACAGCACTGGCTCCATAATCTCCTCTTGTAGACATACCTCTTTTCTTGTGGAATATAAGATAACAATTGAATTCACCTCAGATGTGTTATTGGAAGAAAGTTTCAGTGCATGTAATTGAGAAAAGACTTTCAGAGAGATTACATTATAGAAAAAATTCTGTGTTTTACTATATTGATTGGTTTCCCTTTTGTTTTTAAAGATCTACAGTGGATTCAAGTATCTGATTCCAAAGAAGCATACAGACTTTTAAAACTAGGAATAAAGCACCAGAGTGTTGCCTTCACAAAACTGAATAATGCTTCTAGTAGAAGGTGAGTTGTAGACTCAGTGGAGTAAGCCTGAAGGCATCCGTGGCACCCTGAACTAGTTTAAATATCACTAATTTTAATTTACAGGATGTGGTAGGTTTTTGTGATACATTAAATGAATTCATGGGCATAAAAACATTTTGTAAACTGAAGAGCAATAGCATACAATATTATGAATGCTTTTTCTTGTCCTAATATTAGCTTCACTAGTTTGCAAAAGGTCTGAGGTATATCTAGTCTTTTTTTTTTTTTTTTTTGACAGGCAGAGTGGACAGAGAGAGAGACAGAGAGAAAGGTCTTCCTTTTGCCATTGGTTCACCCTCCAATGGCCGGCGCGGCCGGCGCACCGTGCTGATCCGAAGGCAGGAGCCAGGTGCTTCTCCTGGTCTCCCATGGGGTGCGGGGCCCAAGCACTTGGGCCATCCTCCACAGCCCTCCCTGGCCACAGCAGAGAGCTGGCCTGGAAGAGAGGCAACCGGGACAGAATCCGGCACCCCGACCGGGACTAGAACCCGGTGTGCCGGCGCCGCAAGGCGGAGGATTAGCCTAGTGAGCCGCGGCGCCGGCCTGAGGTATATCTAGTCTTTATGTCAGTATCTCAGCTCAGTATTTTCAGAGTTGTCTGTAATGGTGGCCTTTTCTCTGTTTTTCCTATTTACCTTTTAAATACTATATGCATACTGAGTTTTTTTGTCATCTCAAGGAGTTAAAAAAGTATTTTTTAAGAAGAATTTATTTATTTGAAAGAGTGATGGGGAACAACATAAAGAGAGAGAAAGAGAGCGATTTTCCATGTGCTTGTTGAGAGAGAGAGAGAGATTTAGATCTTCCATCCATTGGTTCACTTGCCAGACAGCTGCAAAAGCCAGGTCTGGGCCAGGCTGAAGCCAGTAACCGGGAGCTCTGTTTGGGTCTCCAATGTGGGTTGCCGGGGCCCAAGTGTTTGGGCCATTTGTTGTCTTCCTAGGTGCGTTTGCAGGAAGCTAGATCGCAAGTAGGGCAGCTGGAACTTAAAACAGCACTCTGTTAGCAGGCAGCTGCTTAAACTGCTGCACCATGATGCTGGCCCTCTAAAAGAATGTTTCTGATGTGAAAGACTGGGAGACAGGATACAAAGGTAATAAATTTAAGCAGTGAATTTTCTTTTCTTTTCTTTCTTTCTTTTTTTTTAATAATAGGGTTTCTGTTAAGGGAGAAAAGAGTCCTGATATAATTTATGATCCAGTGAAGACTATAGAAATATAAAGGTCAGGTGTATTTTTGCTTTAGGTATCTATTCAAAGAATATTTTCTGTATCCAATACCATTTTAACTAATAATAAGATCTTTTTATATAATTAAGACTTTTTAATAAGTGATTCCATCAACATTGGTTGGGATGTCAAGAGAGATTTGAGGGAATTAAAGATAGGCAGATGGTAAGGTTTTAGACAGTATTTAGGTGAGAGTTTGGTTGAAATATTTGTCAGCTTTTCGGAAAGTGGAATGATGGATGAAAGCTGGTATTAGGGTATAGAGGTTGATTTAGATGCTAATTTCTCCAGTTTAGAATGCAGAACTTAAAAATAGAAAGGTAACATTTGATTTTTGTGTTTCTTTTAGTCACAGCATATTCACTATTCGAATATTACACATTGAAGATTCTGAAATGTCTCGAGTAATTGGAGTCAGTGAGTAAGTTCATAATTCATTAAATTGTAATTAATTTGAATTGTTTAGAAGAACTTTTAAAGTAACTTTTGGTGTTTTGGTTGATTCAGATTGTCTTTATGCGATCTTGCTGGTTCAGAACGCAGCGTGAAGACACAGAATGAAGGTGAAAGATTAAGGGAGACCGGGAACATCAATACTTCCTTATTGACTCTGGGAAAGTGTATTAATGTTTTGAAGAACAGTGAAAAATCGAAGTAGGTGTTGCTGAAAGCTGTTAACATACATATTACAATATTTAAACTTTCAACTTTGCTACTTTTAGAAAATAGTTTTGTTTGTCAACTTGTTTCTTATGTAATGACTGTATTATAATTTAAGTGCTTAGAGATCTTGTATTAAATGACAGAAATAAAAAAAAAAATCCATTGATATCAGTAACCCATCAGGTAACCTCAGTGTTTGTATAGCAAAAATGTACCAGCAGACAATTTAGATGATGAACTTCTCACGATTGTTTACCACTTTATTCTTACTAATGCATTGTGTATGTTCTCCTAGATATGACAGATTTTTGCATTAATTAGCTCGTTAAGCTGAGAATTGATAAATCAGAATTCATCATTTCTAGTTAAGATGTTTCATGGCATCTGTTATGTAATGGCTGCATACTATGGAACACAACTCTGTTAAATAGGATTTTCATTATATTTTGCCTAGTGGGTTATTACTAATGTTAGGGTAGTACTACTCAAAGAAAACAAGTAGGGAGTGACTATTACAGTTGGAACTAGTCATTAACTTAGAGTTTTAAGTCTATATTAAGTAGACTTAAATTATTTATTGGTAAAAGTTACCAGCATGTTGACCTGGTGAGACTTGTTTTAACTTAATGTTTTCGAAATTTTTTTCATAGGTTTCAACAACATGTGCCTTTCCGGGAAAGTAAACTGACCCACTATTTTCAAAGTTTTTTTAACGGTAAAGGGAAAATATGTATGATTGTCAACATCAGCCAGTGTTGTTTTGCCTATGATGAAACACTCAATGTGTTGAAGTTCTCAGCCATTGCACAAAAAGTAAATATATTCAAACTTTTGCAGAATTTTAAGACTGATTATTAGTATATTAATGGTTTTTCTTGAAAGAAATAATGTTTTTTTATTTATTTATTTTTATTTATTTATTTTTGACAGGCTGAGTTAGACAGTGAGAGGGAGAGAGAGAGAGAGAGAAAGGTCTTCCTTCCATTGTTTCACTCCCCACATGGCTGCCACGGCCGATGCGCTGCGCCGATCCGAAACCAGGAGGCGGGTACTTCAGAGTACCGGCACTGTAGGCGGAGGATTAGCCTAGTAAGCTGCAGCGCCGGCCGAAAGAAATAATGTTTTGCACTTATTATTGTAAGCCCAGGAAAATTAAAATTTAAATTTGTAAATATTTGACCAAGTAGGATGACATGGGAAAAAATTAAAAGTTTAAAGGTTACCCCACCCAGATTAAGTTGGCCATTAAGAATAACTATTGATAGTAAATGTTACAATTTAAGAAATTTTTTTGGATAGAATTATCTGCTCTGCTATTAACCTGACTCATAAAACTAACAACTAAACCTAAGATTATAGACTTAGCTGTAATTTAGATGTAGAAGTAGTTTTTTTCTTAGCAGAATGTTCTTTTAAGGTACCAGTTTGATTTATATGTTTGTTTACTTGATTTTTCTTTTAAGACTCAAATTGTCACTTGACTGAATTCATAAAATTAAGTTTTAGTGGATAGTTCCTGCCTTTTTTGTTGTAAAAGTTACATTGGATATTTTAACAGGTTTATGTTCCTGATACTTTAAATTCCTCTCAAGAGAAATTTTGTGGAACTGCCAAATCTTCTCAAGAAATATCACTGGACAGTAATTCAGATAATAAAATATTAAATGTAAAAAGAGCCACCATTTCATGGGAAAATAATCTAGAAGATCTGATAGAAGATGAAGATTTAGTTCAGGATCTAGAAGAAGCTGAAGAAAACCAAAATACAGAAACTGAATTTATTGATGAAGATATGGATAAAACTGAGGAAGCTAAGACTTTATTTAACCACAAGGAGAACAGAGTATGTATTAATTCATATTTCTATGCTTGGCTTATTATTTTGAAGTTAGCTAGCAACTCATTTTTTAATAACTAAAAATAATTCAGTTGTACATTTTTATTGGTATACAGAGGGTTAAAAATTTTTAAAGCTTCCTCTCTTCCAGTTTTTCAAAAATACATTGACATTTTTTGCATTTCAACTTTATATTTTGAAAAATCTCACTTATAAAAAGACTAGCATAATGAACATGCATTTACCTTTTTTTTTAAGATTTATTTATTTTACTTGAAAGTCAGAGTTACACAGAAAGAGGAGAGGCACAGAGAGAGAGAGAGAGGTCTTCTATCCGCTGATTCACTCCCCAATTGGCTGCAACGGCCGGAGCTGTGCCGATCTGAAGCCAGGAGCTTCCTGTGGGTCTCCCACACAGGTGCAGAAGCCCAAGGACTTGGGCCATCTTCTGCTGCTTTCCCAGGCCACAGCAGAGAGCTGGACAGGAAGTGAGCAGCCGGGACTTGAACCAGCACCCACATGGGATGCTGGCACTTCAGGCCAGGGCATTAACCCACTGTGCCACAGCGCTGGCCCCTCATTTACATTTCATAAGGATCACCAATTATTGCCATTTTATGAATATGAATACTCATTCTTTTTGCCTGTAGCATTTGAAAACAAAATTCATACATAATTACACTTTTTATTAAACCTTTTTTAATTAAAAATTTTTTTATTTGAAAGGCAGAGTTACAGAGAAAAGGAAGAGAGAGAGAGATCTTCCAACCACAGGTTCACTCCCTAAGTGGTCTTAACTGCCAGCTGAGCCAGACTTAAAGAGCTATGAGTTTCTTCCAGGTCTCCCACGTGGTAGGGACCCAAGCACTTGAACCTTCTTCTGCTGCTTTTCCAGGCACATTTGCAGGGAGCTGGATTGGCAGTGGAGCAGCTGGGATGAACTAGCACCCATATGAGATGCTGACGCTACAGGCAGCCGCTTAACCCTCTAGGCCATAGTGCCAGCCCCCATAATTACACTTTAAGTATTTTGCATTTGTTACCTAGGATTGGAAAGTTCCTTCATGATCTCAAAGAGTATTCTGATACCAAAGAAATTTAATATTGTGGCCGGCGCCGCGGCTCACTGAGCTAATCCTCCGCCTAGCGGCGCCGGCACACCGGGTTCTAGTCCCGGTCGGGGCGCCGGATTCTGTCCCGGTTGCCCCTCTTCCAGGCCAGCTCTCTGCTGTGGCCAGGGAGTGCAGTGGAGGATGGCCCAAGTGCTTGGGCCCTGCACCCCATGGGAGACCAGGAAAAGCACCTGGCTCCTGGCTCCTGCCATTGGATCAGCGCGGTGCGCCGGCCGCAGCGCGCCGGCCGCGGCGGCCATTGGAGGGTGAACCAACGGCAAAGGAAGACCTTTCTCTCTGTCTCTCTCTCTCACTGTCCACTCTGCCTGTCAAAAAATAATAAAAAAATTAAAAAAAAAGAAATTTAATATTGTTATAATAATGTTATCCGTTATACTAGCCATACTGAGATTTCTCCTGTGGTCTCAGTTTGTCCTGAATAGCTACTTTTTATCTGCAGAAAACATTTTTTTGTTGTTGTTGTTTTTATTTGACAGAGTTAGAGATACAGAAAGAAAGGTCTTCCCTCCGTTGGTTCACCTCCCAAATGGCTGCTATGGCTGGGACTATGCCGATCCAAAGCCAGGAGCCAGGTGCCCCTTCCTGGTCTCCTATGCGGGTGCAGGTGCCCAAGCACTTGGGCCATCCTCCACTGCCTTCTCGGGCCACAGCAGAGAGCTGGACTGGAAGAAGAACAACCGGGACTAGAACCCGGCGCCCATATGGAATGCCGGCGCCACGGGCGGAGGATTAACCAAATGAGCCATGGTGCCGGCCAAACATTGCTTTTGAGTGTCATGTTTCTATAATGATTTCTAATCTGGCATTGACATTGTGGGGAGCAACTCGGACTAGACTAAGTTACTGGAATTAAGACTTATTCTATGCATCTGCTCTCCCACAATATGGCGCTGAGAAGGGAGAAACAGCTTCTACACAGCTGCCTCCAGTTCAACCAATAAACTGTAGGACTTACTCCTGATTGGAGGAGAGCAGCGTACTCAGCTTGTGGGTAGTAGAGTTGGGATTGGTGGAAGAGGACTATAAAGGAGGAGAGAGACAACATGCACCAGGAACATCTAAGGGGAACATCTATCTGAAGGAACACCTGTGCAGCCCCTGAGAGAGCCGGCCGGCGGTGTGCCGCTCCCCCGCGGAAGTGGGGAATGTGGCAGGGGGAACCGCCCTTCCACAGAGGTGGAAGGGACAGTAGCCAACCCGGGAAGAACCAGCAGCAAACCTGGGGAGGGCCGGGCAGACGAAAGAACAGCGCAGGGTCCTGTGTCGTTCCTCCACGAAGACGGGGAGCGACAGACATCTTTAAAAAGTAGATGCCATCCCCACCCATGAAATGTGTTGACACCAAATTCACAGCAGGTTGTCAGGTTTAAGTAGAATCAAGTATGGAACTCTCCACAGTAATTCTTGGTGGATAACATATGATCAAATTTACTTTATTTTTCAGTTCAACGAGAGATTGAAACATAGGAGTTACTGTATTTCTTTTCTGTAAATATTTCTGCAATGTGGAAAGATCTACAAATTAATGAATCTTTGTAAATGCATACTTTTAGTAAGACTATATTAAAATCGTATGTAATATTTTTTTTTAAGATTTATTTATTTATTTGAAAGAGTTAGAGAGAGAGGAGAGGCAGAGAGGGAGAGATCTTCCATCTGATGGTTCACTCCCCAACTGGCCGTGACAGCCGGAGCTGTGCCGATCCGAAGCCAGGAACCAGGAGCTTCTTTCGGGTCTCCCATGTGGGTTCAGGGGCCCAAGGACTTGGGCCATCTTCTACTGGTTTCCCAGGCCATATCAGAGAGCTGGATTGGAAGAGGAGCAGCCCTGATTAGAACTGTCACCCATATGGGTTGCCGGTGCTTCAGGCCAGAGCATTAACCTGCTATTCCACAGCGCTTGCCCCAAACGTAGTTATTAATTAAATGAAAAGAGTTATTTTTGGAATAGTTGTCCATACTTTGGGATATATTTATTATATAAGAATTTTAATATTTATGTGTTTTAGAAACTATTGGATTTAATAGAAGACCTGAAAAAAAAACTGATAAATGAAAAAAAAGAAAAGTTAACATTGGAATTTAAAATTCGAGAAGAAGTTACACAGGAGTTTACTCAGTATTGGGCTCAAAGGGAAGCTGACTTTAAGTAAGTTGTTTATTTCATGACCTGATAAAAATTGAGTCTTTAATTTACTTTTTAAATTTTTTTAGTTTCATTTCTGGATTCTGATTTCTTTTTACAAGTTTCAGAATATTTAATAGTAATCCTTATGCATTAAGTTTGCTTTTAATCTGTGCTATACTTAATTTTGGAAGTTTAGAACAAACAATTTTTTGTTTTCTGTTTTTTTTAAATGGAATTAATTTGTGTTATGAAGGGAAACACTCCTTCAGGAACGAGAGATATTAGAAGAAAATGCTGAATGCCGTTTGGCTATTTTCAAAGATTTGGTTGGTAAATGTGACATTCAAGAAGAGCCAACCAGTGGAGTTTGTGCTATGAAAGTTGAAACCGAGGTATGATAACTCAAATACTAAAAAATTCCAGTGAGATTTTGGTATGAGGATGTAGTATGTGACATTAATGATGAGAAACATTAATATAGGTTACAATTAAAACAGTCTAACTGTGGCTTTATTGTAATTAGGCCTGTTTTGTTTGGAATCTACTTGCAAATTGTTTAAATATAATTATGCGGCTTGAAAAAATCTATAATTATGTTACATTTATACAATTTTGGCATTGCTTGAGTCATTGTATGGACTATGGGACAGACAGATTCCTTCTTTCTGACTATAGGGTGCCTTCCTCAGAATAATCTTAAACTTCAGTTTTTAAGTTAATTTTAAAGGTATATATATAAAGGTGAGGAGTCATTTACTTATGTTTTCATTGAAACAAAAATATATATAAATTAGTATTGTCCTTACTGAGCAAATAATACTCCCTAGTCTTAAGGAAAATTCATCCCTTTTTGCTGTTTCCTCTGAAAATGAAGTTGATCAGGCTTTTATGGTTGTTTTTTTTTATTAATTTCTTATTTTTTTAAAATTTTAAATATTTATTTATTATTTATTTGAAAGGCAGATAGAAAACAGAGAGATCTCTCACCTGCCGGTTCATTCCCCAAATGCCTGCAGCAGCCATGGCTGGGCCATGCTGAAACCAGGACCCTAGAACTCCATCTGGGTCTCCCACATGGATGGCAGTGCCCCAGATATTTGGACCATCCTCCACTGCTTTGCCAGGTGCATTAGCAGGGAGCTGGATTGGAAGCAAAACAGCCAGCACTCAAACCTGGCCCCACAGTTTTGGAATCCAGTGTCATAAGTGATTGTTCTATCTGCTGTACCATAATGGCAGCTGCAGTTGTTTGTTTTTTAATCACTCAGTTCAGGGCCTGTGACAATGATGTTTTGATTCTTGCTGTCAAAACACTGTTCTGTGTCTTGGCTGTGCTTGGGACTTGAACTGAGTTATGAAATGGAGATCTGTTTCTTTGGCTATTGTATTCTAACAAAGCTTATAGCATAATTGAAACATTACCTAATTAGATTATTATAATTCTGTAATGACCTTTCACAGTTTGTCATGTTTTTATGAGGAAATATCCTTGGGTTCCATATAAAAAATGAGTAATAGAATAAAACTTTTTCCTAATTGGGAATGCTTCTGTATAATTTATTTTTAAAAATGTGATGTTATAAATTTTTGGCTGTTGCTAAAATTCTATATCAGGTGATACCACATGTCAGGGAGGAACCCACTGTTAATGTTAGACATGTGGTTTTTGCTGTTTTTAGGAAGCACATAATTATGTAGGATTTGAAGATCTTATTGACTCTCTTCAAGATGATGTCGCTGATATTAAAAAACAGGCTGAAATTGCTCACTTATACATTGCATCTCTTGCTGATCCCCAGGAAGCTATTGCTTGTTTACAACTAAAATTAAGTCAAATTAAAGCTGAATTAGATAAAACTAAAGAAGAATTAATCAAAACCAAAGAAGAGTTAAAAAAGAGAGATAACGGTAAGTGGATGTATTTTTTTTTTTTTTTTGACAGGCAGAGTTAGACAGTGAAAGAGAGAGAGACAGAGAGAAAGGTCTTCCTTCCGTTGGTTCACTCCCCAAATGGCTGCCACGGCCAGTGTACTGCACCAACCAAAACCAGGAGCCAGGTACTTCCTTCTGGTCTCCCATGCGGGTGCAGGGCCCAAGCATTTGGGCCATCCTCCACTGCCTTCCTGGGCCACAGCAGAGAGCTGGACTGGAAGAGGAGCAACCGGGACAGAACCAGTGCTTCTGTCTTTGGAGTGGACCAGAAAAGCACTAACTCCATTTCTTCTCTGATGTTATGCCAGTTCTTTACTGTTTAACATGTCACTCATTTTTATCCTGAGTTTTGAAAGTGGAATTTTTCTTAAACATTACTCTCTTGTAGTTGAGCCTGTGCCTTTCTGTGCTATCCAAATCCTTTTTCCTGAATGTAGTACTTGATAAGTGTCTACTGCAGCAGCTTATGTTTCATGGTTATTCAGTCATCTGTTTCTTAGATAACTACTTACTTTCAATATTCTTTCTTTTTTCAGAATCAGATTCATTTGTTCAAGGACTCAAGAAATCTAGTAAGGTAATACTTTAAGCTTATTTTGTCTTGTTAAGGACCAAAGGAGCACATATTATGATTAGATACATTTATTTTAGAACTAATTATAATTGGGCCATCTTCTACTGCTTTCCCAGGCTGTAGCAGAGAGCTGGATCCGCAGTGGAGCAGCTGGTACTGAAGCCAGCTTCCATATGGGATGCATGGATTGCAGGTGGCAGCTTTGCCTGCTACACCACAGTGCCAGCCCCAAGGGATATCTTAAAAAATACTTTTTATTTATTTTTTATAATTAATTTATTTCAAAGACAGACAGAGAGATGTCCCATCTGTTTGTTCACTCCAAATTCTGCTGTGGCCAGGGCTGGGCCAAGCTGAAGCTAGAAGCCAGGAATTCATTTTCAGTGTCTTGCCTGGGTGACAGGGATCCAACTACTTGAACAATGCATCTCAGGGTATGCATTGGCAGTAAGCTAGAATCAGGAGCTGAGCTGGGATTTGAAATCAGTTACTCCAATATGGGATGTAGCATCCCAAGCAGCATCTTAGCCACTGTCCAAATGCCCATATTCTACACCCCTTTATTGCTTTTTATTTTTTATAGCCCACTGATTTATGGCTCGAATTTATAATTTTATCTGTATGTTCTGGCAATGCAACATTTGCCGATTCTGCAATGTAAAATGACACTTTTATATTATCACATATTTTATGTTTTTCTCAAATGGATTGCTGCTAGTCCTTGCTCTTATCATACTTTTAATTATTTCAGAGTTGTAGTTAATTGCCGAGTTTTGTTCTTCCTCTTTCTGGATAAGTCCATATTCTATCCTTTTTCTGCTTGGCTTTTTTAGGGCAGCCATGTCTTGTCTTTGCCTCTGAAGTAAAAATCTGGATGACTGATCTAGAAGGTCCATTTTTAAAGCTGTTATGTAGATTTTATATCTTTGAATGTACATTGGTGGAAAACTAAGACCTAAACAATTTTTCTGGGAATTGTTAAATTGTAAAATAACACTACTCATTCTTAGGAGCCTTTATTTACAAAATAAATAACTGCCCAATTCATCAGTTTATTTTAGGGTAAAACTTAAGAAATACCTTAGAAAATGTTTCATAAAATTTGAAAATAAAAGTTTTTATAATACACTACTGATAATTTATATGGTTTTACATTTATTATGGTTTTCTCTTTCTGAATTAATGTAAACTTATTTCCTTTGGAACAAGGTTGATACATCTTTAATAAACAATAAATTGACTTCTGATGAAACAGTTGAAGTGCCTAAGGATGGCAAAACTAAAACCTATTCAGAAAGAAAAAGATTAAGTGATTATGAACTTCAACAAGATGAACCACCAGCAAAGAAAGGTAACTCCTTCAACTACTAACTATAGGGTTTTTAAGGAACTAATATCTAAACCAGAAAATAGTTGCAAGATGGAGGAAATTTACTTGTCTGAAGAAGTCCTGAGAAAATCTAAATGTCATGAAGTTTTAGGCTAGCATGTTATAAAGTGTTTGGAGAATGGGTATACTTAAAGCTGTGCTTTTTTTTAAAAATATTTTTATTATTTGTGAGGTAGAGTTACAGAGAGATGGGGAGAGACTGACAGAATAGTTTTCCATCTGCTGGTTCACTCCCCAGATGATAGTAAGGGACAGAGCTGGGCCAATTAGGAGCCAGGAGCCAGGAGCCAGGAGCCAGGAGCTTCTTCCAGGAGCAGGGCCCTAAGCACTTGGGAATCAGATCTTCCATCTGCTGGTTCACTCCCCAAATAGATGCAATGACTAGGGCTGTGCCAGGTTGAAGCAAGGAGCCAGGAGCTTCTAGGTCTCCCACATGGGTGCAGGGGCCTAGGGATTTGGGCTGTCTTCCATTGTGTTCCCAGGCATTTCAGCAGGGAGCCGGATGGGAAGCAGCTGGGGCTTGACGCATACAGCATGCCAGCACTGTGGACTGGGGCTTAACTTGCTGTGTCACAGCACCGGCCCCCAACAAAATAGATTTTAAAAAATTTATTAGATTTTTGCTAATTGTGCATCTAATCTAAGCCTAGTTTAATGTATACCAACTGTAACTGTTAAAGTTTGTCAGATTTAATAACCTTTTTTTAATTTTTAAAGGACTTACACCGACTAGTTCAGCTATCACTGAACAAAAGAAAAGTGAAATGCAACACAGCAGTCCAGAAAACAGGAAAGACATTACAGTTTTACAAGATAATGAAAGGCTGAAAACACTTTTACTTGTTGAAGATGAACTTAAAAACGAAAAGGAAGAAAAAACAGAATTAAATAAACAGATTGTTAATTTGCAGCAAGAACTTTCTTTATCTGAAAAAAAGAGTTTAATGTTAAGCATAGAGGTTCAAAAAATTCAGTCAGATTATGACAGTGCAATTGCTGAATTACATGTACTTAGAGGTATAAATCAAGAACAGGAGGAAAAGATCATGAAGTTATCAAAGGAGATAGAAACTGCTACAAGAAACATCACAAATAATGTTTCAAAAATAAAATTAATGCAGACAAAAATAGATGAACTGCGTTCATTTGACTCAGTTTCTCAGATCTCAAACATAGATTTACTCCATCTTAAGGATCTGTCAAATGATTCTCAGGAAGAGAACCTGGCAAATACCCAGGTATACCAATTAGATAGTGATTATTTGAAAAGTAATCACGTTAAGGACTATTGTGTTCAAGAATTCAGTAGAGATAATTCTTTCCACACTAGTATTGAAGCTATTTGGGAAGAATGTAAGGAGATTGTAAGGGCCTCCTCCAAAAAGAGTCATCAGATCCAGGAACTAGAAAAGCAAATTGAAAAATTAAAAACAGAAGTAGAAAGCTATAAAGATGAAAGCCATAGACTAGAAATAAAAGAATGTGATATTAAACATCAAGGTGACCTACTGAAAGAAAAAGAAAGTATTATACAACAGCTGAAGGAAGAATTACAAGAAAAAAATGATCATCTTGCTGATCAAGAACAGCGTGTAGTTGAAGGAAAGAGAGCACTGTCAGAACTTACACAAGACATTACTCGCTATCAGGAAAAAATAAAAGAACTTGAAACAGTCTTAGAGACCCAGAAAGATGAGTGTAAGCATTCAGCCAAATTAGAACAAGACATTTTGGAAAAGGAATCTATCATTTTAAAGTTAGAAGGAAATCTAAAGGAATTTCAAGCAGATCTTCAGGATTCTCTCAAAAACACCAAAGATTTAAGTGAAAAGGAAGTCAAGTTGAAAGAAGAAATCGTACAATTAACAAATAATTTGCAAGATATGACACATTCACTTCACTTAATGGAAGAAGAAAAAGAAGCCAATAGGCAAGAAACAAAAAAGTAAGCTAAATGTTATTCAGGATGTTTTAAGATATGCAAAGTATTCATTTTTCTGTATAGCTTTTAAACCTTTAGATTGACGTAACAATCTGGTAAAGTTTAGCATGTGTAGCCTTTGAATCAAAAATTATATGCAGAGAATAGCTTATAAATATCACATGAAATATTAACTGAAGTACTAGATCATAGTTTGGACGTTGCAGATTTGTGAAAAGATGTAATTGTGCCAAAATAGTTACAGTTCACTTAGTGACCTTTGTGATAGTAACCTTTGTGATTAATGGTGCATGATTATAGAAAAGTGGTGTTTGTTTTTTAGATTGAAAGAAGAGCTCTGTGCAAGCTCTGCTCTTACCCAGAGTCTCAAAGCAGACCTTCAGAGAAAGGAAGAAGACTATGCTGAGCTCAAAGAGAAACTGACTGATGCTAAAAAGCAGATTGAGCAAGTACAGAAAGAAGTAAGTTCCTTAAAAATTTGTGGGGCCAATTTAACATAATAAAGTTCATTTTCCTTATATGTTATTTAGACATTAATTTTAGAATTGAAAGGAATGTTAGTCAACTTCATAATTTTTTTAATTGAAAAGTGATTTGAGAGGAAAATATAGTGAGCTCAAACTGAAGGATGTCAAACATTAAGAAAAATATATGCGCTCTGTGAGTTGATAATCTTTTTTTTCTTGAAAGGACTATCAATTCAAGTCCTCCAAAAAAAGGTAGAAAGCAGCTTGTGATTGCAGATAGTATTAAGGAGAGTCTGTTATGTGACTTATGTAATAACAAGTTTATTATAATTTAATTTTAAAATAGAGAATGTGATCACATGATTCCATATCCATAATGTACAAAAACATTCAGTGAGAAAAAAAAATCTCCCCCCCTTCTAAGTCATCCAGTTTGCCTCCAAGGCATCAGATTTTGCTAATTACTTTGTCTACACTTCTGCCTCCCTTCTTTTCTCCATCCTGCTTTTCTTCCTATAAAATATGAAAATGTAAATACTGTCTTTTCATTTTAGTATAGCTTCACTGTCATTCCATATCTGTATGTAAAGAATTTATAAGGGAATTCTCGTGACAACAGTGTGTATTTATTATTAATTTGTCATATTGTTAGGCGGTTCAAGTGGTTCTTACACTTACACTGATACAAATTATCCAGCATTGCCATTTTGAACATTTGCAAGTCTCTCTGATATAAATTTTTAGAAGTAGAATTTATGGGACATTGTTTTGTACATTTGTAATTTCAACATTTATTACCCTCCTTAGAGGTTACACCAATTTACTTGCCATAGCAATGCATAAGAATGAGTGTTAGGTTTTTTATAACCTTATCTACAAAGCAGTAATATTTTATCATTTATTTGAAAGTCAGAATTACAGAGAGAGAGAGAGAGAGAGAGAGAGAGAGAGAGAGAAAATCTTCCATCTGCTGGTTTACTCCCCAAATGGCTGCAACCAGGAGCCAGGAGCTTCATCTGAATCTCCCACATGGATGGTGGGGCCCAAATACTTGGGCCATCAGTCGCTGCTTTTATCAGGCTATATTGGAAATGGAGTAGCTAGGACATAAACTATCACTGATATGGGATGCTGGCATCACAAGCAGCAGCTTTTTCTGTTAGACCACATCGCCAGTCCCTAGTGAGCATCTTTTTGCTTTTTTTTTTTTTTTTAAATGTGAACTATCTGCTCATGAATTTGCCTTTTAATTTTGGGTTATTTTATTTTATGTGTTTTTTCATTGCTTTGTACTTACTAGGTGCTTATTAGATATTAAGAAAATTAGCTTTTGGGGAATGTGGATTGGAAAGTTGTCTCCCAGTTGCTGTTTTTCTTGATTTTGATTATGGCTCGGTTTGTTTTTTTTTTTTTTGCCTTGGAGCAGATTTTGATTTTCTTTCCTCCCTCCCTCCCTCCCTCCCTCCCTTCCTACTTTCCTTCCTTCTCTGCAAAAGATTTACTTTAGATCTAAGTATGTTTATAGGTTGAAAATACTGAATGGAAGATTTTGATTTTTTAAATTTGAACTTATTAATTTGTGTTTTATGACTGCCTGATTTTGTTTTATATTTTGACCTTCTCCAAAGACTAAGAAACTTTAAAAAATTTTTTTTGTCATTTGAGTTAGTTACAAAAAAATACTTAGGGGCGACACTGTGGCGTAGCAGGTTAGGCTGCTGTCTGTAGAGCCAGCATCCCATATGGGTGCCAGTTTGAGACCTGGCTGCTCCAATTCCAATCCAGCTCTCTGCTATGGCCTGAGAGAGCAGTAAAAGATGGCCCAAGTCCTTAGGCCCCTGCGCCCTAATGGGAAGACCTGGAGGAAGCTCCTGGCTCCTGGCTTCGGATTGGCGCAGCTTCAGCCATTGCAGCCAGTTGGGGAGTGAACCAGCAGATGGAAGCCTTCTCTCTCTCTGCCTCTCCTTCTCTCTCTGTGTAACTCTGATTTTCAAGTAAAATAAAATAAATCTTTTTAAAAAAATACTATACGGATGCTGTTTTGAGAATACCTATAGAGCTTGAGATTCTTTGAATCTTTGGACCAGTGGTCATGAATTTTAAACAATAAAATGCTATTATCATTAAATTAATCAATTTATTTTATGAATATTATTTTGTAGGTATCTGTAATGCGTGATGAGGAGAAATTACTGAGGGTTAAAATTAATGAACTGGAGAAAAAGAAAAATCAGTGTTCTCAGGAAATAGATATGAAACAGCGAACCATTCAACAACTCAAGGTAAAGGCTGTTTTTAAGGATGGTTTAAGTGCATTCTGTTACATTTTAGTGTCTAATAAAACATACATTTTTAATAAATTCTCTTTTAACATTTTTTTGGAATCAAAAAATAAATGACTTAAATAAGTCCATAGTGACTTGCTGCTAACAAATAGAATGTGGAAAAATAATAGCAACGGTACTATGAAGAAAATTAGCAAATACCATCCTTTTTTTCCCTTTTTTTTTTTTTTTTTTTTTGGTCGTAAAGAGTATCTATTTGAGAGGTAGAGTTACAGACAGAGAGAGGGAGAGAAAGATCTTCCATCTGCTGGTTCACTCCCAAGTGGCCACTACAGCTGGAGCTGAGCCAAAGCAAAGCCAGGAGCCAGGAGCTTCTTCCAGGTCTCCCACGCAGGTGAAGGAGCCCCAGTACTTGGATGATCTTCTAATGCTTTCCCAGGCCATAAATAGAGAGCTGTTTATTTAATTGAAAGGAAGAAAGAGCAGCCAAGACACCAACAGATGATTGCATGGGATGCTGGCACCGCAGGCAGAGGCTTAACCTACTGTGCCACAGTGCTGACCCCACAAATAGCATCTTAACCAAATGTTTCATAATACCATTGCCAGCAATAAGTCTTACTATTGGTAAAATGTACTTCCTGATTTGATATAGAAGAGCACGTTGATGTAGAAGGACACTTTCCCTCTGTGGTATACTTCCCCCCAATTTATAACCTCAATCTATTCATGAGAAAGCATCTGACATACCCCGTCTGAGGATGTTTGCAGTGCCTTATCAGTGTAAAGTGTCAAGGGTGTTAAAGATGAAGACAGGTAGGCTGGCGCCGCGGCTCACTAGGCTAATCCTCCGCCTGGCGGCGCCGGCACACCGGGTTCTAGTCCCGGTCGGGGCGCCGGATTCTGTCCCAGTTGCCCCTCTTCCAGGCCAGCTCTCTGCTGTGGCCAGGGAGTGCAGTGGAGGATGGCCCAGGTGCTTGGGCCCTGCACCCCATGGGAGACCAGGAAAAGCACCTGGCTCCTGGCTCCTGCCATCGGATCAGCGCGGTGCGCTGGCCGCAGCGCGCCGGCCGCGGCGGCCATTGGAGGGTGAACCAACGGCAAAGGAAGACCTTTCTCTCTGTCTCTCTCTCTCTCACTGTCCACTCTGCCTGTCAAAAAAAAAAAAAAAAAAAAATTTCCAAAAAAAAAAAAAAAAAATTTCTAAAAAGATGAAGACAGGTGAACAGTTACAGGTGTAAGACTACTACAGAGACATGATGACTGAATGCAGTGTTATCTCCCAAAAAGATCCTGGGACAGAAAAAGAAGAGCAACTGGGAAACTGATTGCTAATAATTTTTTTTTTTAAGATTTATTTTATTTATTTGAAAGGCAGATTTACAGAGAGAGAGAGAGGTCTTCCATCTGCTGGTTCACTCCCTAAATGGCCGCAACAGCCAGAGATGAGCCAGGCTGGAGCCAGGAGCCAGGAGCTTTTTCCAGGTCTCCCCTGTGGGTGCAGGGACCCAAGCACTTGGGCCATCCTCCACTGCTTTCCCAGGCACGTTAGCAGTAAGCTGGATTGGAAGTGGAACAGCAGGGACTCAAACTGGAGCCCATATAGGATGCTGTTGCTGCAGGCAGTGGGATATCCCACTATGCCACAATTTTGGCCTCCAGTTACTAGTCTTATATCCATGTTAATTTCTTGATTTTTGGTAAAGTAAATCATGATAATATGATGGGGAAACTGAATTGAGGTTATATAACAAATTTTGTATGCTATTTTCACAATTCTTCTGTAATGCTAAAATTATGTTTTAAAAACATTTTAAAAAGCTAAAAATTAATTCTAGGCTTTCTCACACATTCTTTTTAAAATTACACTTGATAAGCAAAATCCCTTTATTGTAAATGATTATAATCTTGGTGCAAGTTAAATTATAAGATGACAATAAAAAAATGGATTCATTGTATGCTTTCAAGTTTTGCTTTTAAATGGAGCAAACTAATGAATGTTCAGGTATAAACACATGAGTTTAATTCTTAATGAAGTATAATATCTACTAAAGCAGTACATACTTTCATAATAGAATTTAAAGATTTCTAGATTCTGTAATCTAAGAGTCTTGAAGTGAGGAAATAGTGATGAAATTAGATGAGATTGGGAGTGAAATTTGAGTTAGCTTCTGGTTAAACTTAAAATTGTAGCATTTCCAGTCCCCATAAGTTAATCTTGCCTCCTGTGATTCGGGTTACATTTTCCAATACTACAACTACTTTCTAGTAGAGAGGGAAGGAGGCTCTGTTATTTCTGCATCTTGAATTTAGTGATGGGGAATTTTTAAATGGTTTTCCTTCTTAGTTTTATGTTAAGTACATAGTAGACTTCTGTTTTCTCTTGTTTTCCTTTTGTAGTATATGCAGTGTGTGTTTATTTTCCTACCATTTTCATCCTGCCCTGTTCTCCAAGGTGAAAGAAACTTTGAAGCTTAACACTTAGCAGCCTTGTAGAAGATTGATTTTACAATTAATTTTGAGCCCTGATTTCAAGACCCACTATTAAATGTTATTGTATATTGAAATTAATTTTGCATTTAATTAATATTCGTTCATTTTATAGGAGCAGCTAAGTAATCAGAAAGTGGACGAAGTGATACAACAGTATGAGAGAGTATGCAAAGGTCAGGAACAAATTTGTATTTCCTCCACGAATATGATTGCAAAATATGTGGTCACCGTAATAATTGGGTAATAGTTTCCTTTGAAAATTTGGAATTGAAGTGAGGGCAACATAAGTTTACCAAAAGAGAAAAGCATAATTTTATTTTAAAGATTGATTTATTTGAAAGTTGGAGTTACATAGAGAGAGAGAGAGAGAGAGAGAGAGAGAGAGGAGGTTGGTCGGTCTGTTGGTCTGTCTTCTATCCGCTGGTTTACTACCCAGATGGCCTCAACGGCCAGAGCTATGCCGATATGGAGCCAGGAGCCAGGAGCTTCTTCCAGGTCTCCCACGCGGGTGCAGGGGCCCAAGCACTTGGGCCATCTGTTTTCCCAGGCCATAGCAGAGAGCTGGATTAGAAATGGAGCAGCGAAGATTCGAACCGGCGCCCTTATGGGATGCCAGCACTGCAGGTGGCGGCTTTATTTGCTATGCTACAGCCCCGGCCCCAACATAATTCTAATGAATAACTTACCAAATTAAAGTAGAAAAATAAACGAGTAAGAAATAAAAGCAATGTTGAAAATGACAAGGGTTTTATGAAAAATAAAGTCAGAGTTATAAATATCACAGTATAATTTGTGGAATAAGATTGTGTAAAACATATACTTCAGGTAAAATGTCATTAAAATTTGTATTTTTAAAGAAATTTTAAAAGCCACTTAATATTTTATATTTATTAATTTGAAAGACAAATAGTAACAGATACAGAAAGAGAGTGAGAGTGGGAGTGAGCAGGAGTGCTCTCATTTGCTGGTTCATGTTCCAAATGCCCACAGGGGCCAGGGCTGTGCAACACTGAAACAGGGACTGGGAGCCCAGTACCAGTCTACCATGTGAGTGGCAGGGGCCCAGTTAAGTTTCACTTCTGGCTCCCAGCATATTTATTTAGTAGGAAGCTATAATTAGGAGCCAGAGCCAGGAATTGAACCTGGTCACTCTGGTGTGGAATGTTTCATCCTAACTGGTGCCTTAACTTCTAGGCTATCCCTCCTAACACTTTAGATTCAAATTCTCAATGATGAATTATGCTTTTCTTAATGAAGTTATATTGATTTATTTATTGGAATATTATAAAATTACTTTTATAGATGATAAACATGTATTTCTTTTCTTAACCTTATGTGGATTTTTCTTTTCTCAGTCATTCACCCCTTGAGTTCTTAGTTGTGTGAATGATACGCTGTAGCTTGTATCTAAGTTTGCGTTAGATTTACTGTGAAATATCAAACTTTGATTACTAATCCCTTTCCCTACTTATGACTTTCTACCTGTTTTCAAATAACCTACTTAATAATTTCTCTCTTGAAGGCTTTCTTAGATGTTATAGTTCTCATTGATGCTTTACCTTGAATGTTAAGCATTTGATTGCTGGTTTATTTTTTTAAAGATTTATTTATTTATTTATTGGGAAGGCAGAGAGAGAGAGAGACTGAAAGAGAGAGATTAATCTTTCATCCACTGGTTCACTTCCTAAATGGCTGCAGTGGCCAGGGCTTGGATAGACTGAAGCCAGGAACCTGGTACTTCTGGATTTCCCATGTGGGTAACAAAGGCCCAAGCACTTCAGCCATCTTCCTGCTGCTTTCCCAGGCACGTTAGCAGGGAGCTGGAACAGAAGTGTAGCAGGTCAGTCTTGCACTGTTGATCATTTGGGAAGCCAGCATCCCCGGCAGTAGTTTTACCTGCTACGGCACAATGCCAGTCCCTGCTTGCTCATGTGATAGTAATGTATTTTATATGGTGACAGCCAGTAGCTATCTTTTCTTTTTTTGACAGGCAGAGTGGACAGTGAGAGAGAGAGAGAGAGAGAGAGAGAAAGGTCTTCCTTTGCCGTTGGTTCACCCTCCAATGGCCGCTGCAGCTGGCGCTTGCGGCTGTCGCACCATGCTGATCCGAAGGCAGGAGCCAGGTGCTTCTCCTGGTCTCCCATGGGGTGCAGGGCCCAAGGACATGGGCCATCCTCTACTGCACTCCCGGGCCACAGCAGAGAGCTGGCCTGGAAGAGGGGCAACCGGGACAGGATCCGGCACCCCGACTGGGACTAGAACCTGGGGTGCTGGCGCCGCAGGCGGAGGATTAACCTGTTGAGCTACGGCACCGGCCAGCCAATAGCTATCTTGAGATGTATCTTTAGATAGCCCCAATGAGATTGTTATTTCAGCCTTCTTTAGTTTGCTTTATTTTCCATTTTAATTGTTGTATATATTTAGTCTTCCTGAAATAGTTTACATTACTGGAGGCATTGACTGACAGAATAATTATATTTTTTCCTTCACCTCTCTTGTTTGGTACATCAAATAATAGATGAATGGCCGTTACAGAGTTATCATCATCAATGTCCTGACATTTCTTCTTTTTTTTAAGTTTATTCTTTAGTTTTTAACAGATTCAATGTAGTTCATAGATAAAATTCTAAGAATGCAACGATTTTCCTTTCTTCCCTCCTTCTCTCTCTGGGATTTTCTTAATTGGTAAAGCTGTTCATATAAATTCTTTCTGACCCCGTAGGTTAGAGTCAGTATATGCAAGATAAGAATTCTTTGAGTAAACTTATTACCAGTTATGTACCAGAATATATTTGCAAATCATACTTCTAGAAAGAAAGGGTTATTTATATGATAATACTAAGATCACTTTAATTCTTGGAGGAATTTTGGTTACCTAGTACTCCTGGCAGCTTACATCAATGGACAATAATACTGGAAATTATTCATGTAATTGTTTCTTATTGTTTTGTTTATTTTAAGTTTGCATTGTACACATTTTGAGAGAGCCATCTTTTAGAATTTCTGTCATTCAAAACAACCTGATTTTGAGCTGTGCACTTTCAGTTTTATTACTCCTGACATTAGAAGTTTTGTTCTCTAAAATGAACCTTTCTGCTGTGTGCCATCACCAGAGGCAACCACCTCATCTTTCCTCTCTATTGATGTCTTACAGACAGGGTTAAAATAGAGTTGCTTATAAGTTGTTAATGTAGTCATTTTTCAAGGACCAGAAAGAGTTTTGGTAAGGTTAGTATCAGTGTCATGTTGGAGACACTGGTTATAAAAACCAGAAATAACAAATATTTGAATTTGAGTGTTTTTCTAGAAAAAAATTATCTCAATTTAAAAAAAAGGATCTAATTGTGATTGGGAATATTTTAGTTTTAGGAGGTAAAGGTTTGATTGAGTTTTGGTTTAAGAAAAATAGCTCTAAAAATAAGTTGTTTTCCCAGTTTTTTCTAAACTTGAAGATTAATTTTTTCTGGGGAGATTCCTTTTTTATACGTTCATACTTTTTTTTGATCATCCAAGCATCCATCTGTGCATCAGGTAAGTATTTAGTGCATCATATATGCCAGTAATATTTTAGGAATTGTGGGTATAGTAGTGAACAAGAGATAGATTCTGTCTATTTAGAATTCATATTACTTAATAAAAGTATATTTTAATTTTAGAAACGGCAAAAGTTGGGTTGTTGGATGTTATTAATTTCTAAAATGTTCTTCCCTCAACTTTTAGATCTGAATGTGAAAGAAAAAATAATTGAAGGTATGCGATTGACACTAGAAGAACAAGAACAAACTCAGGTAGAACAAGATCAAGTGCTGGAGGCTAAATTGGAGGAAGCTGACTGGCTGGCCACAGGTAAAATAAGATAGCTTACATATCTCAAAACATACCTTTTAATTTTGTAAATATTTATTTGAGAGACAGAGATACTGAGAAAGGCAAACAGACAGAGGGAAAGAGAGCTTCCATCTGATGGTTCACTACCTAAATACCCACAACAGCCATGACTGGGCTAGGGTGGAAAATGGGAGATAGGAAGGCAGTGCAGGTCTCTCACATTGGTGGCAGGAACCCAATTACTTGAGCCATTACCTCTGACTCCCAGGCTTTGCATTGATGAGATACTGGAGTCAGGAGCCAGAGCTGGAAGTCAAATCCAAATACTCTGTTCCTGGCATTTTAACCATCTGGCTAAACTAGATTTCTTCTATTTTAAAGTAGCAGAGTATTTATAATAATTTGTAACAGAAAAATGTTTGGTGTGTTTCTTGAATGTCTTGTCATTTTCCACTATAATAAAAATTGTTTTATCTAATGAAATTACATGCTGTAAAGGAATAACTTGTGAATTATATAACTTGTGCATAACCAGACATGAAGAGAGTTTTCCAGGAATATGTGGGAAAATTTGACAGTTATTTACTAATAATAAAGCTATGTGTGATTCTTGTAGAAAAAAGAAATTTAGAATCAGGAAATTGCCTGTGCCATTTTATATATAACCTTGGCAGGACATTTTTGCTGACTCAGCCTACTTGTTCCCTCTCTGAAAAACGTGGTTGATGGATAAAGCCATGTATACTATTGCACATTATTTTATGAGTATCAGATAAGATGATAAATACAAGAATAGTTTATAATTCCTAAAACTATATTTTTAAGATTTATTTTTTACTGGAGGGTCAGGGTTAGAGAGAGATGGAGAGACAGAGAGAGAGATTTTCCATCCTCTGGGTCACTCCCTGTGTGTCCACAACAGCCAGGATTGGGCTAGGCCAAAGCTGGAAGCCAGGAGCTTCTTCCAGGTCTGCCACATGGGTAACAGGGGCCCAAGCATTGGGCCATCTTCTCTTGCTTTTCCCAGAACATTAACAGGGAGCTGAACTGGAAGTGAAGCAGCTGGGACATGAACTGGCACCGTGTGGGCCCATATGGGATGCTGGCATTGCAGGTGGTGGCGTTATCCACAATGCTGGGACCAAAACTCTATTTTGGTGGATTAAATTGTGATGATGATGAGGGTGATGATGATGATGTTGGTGGTGGTGGTGATGGGTACATGCCACTTCATACGTTGCTACACACTTTCATTGCCTTGGCATACCTTTTTTTTTTTGAGGTTTACATGAATTATCGTATGTAATTAAGGCCAGTATGAATTTATACTGTGTACTTGGAGCATTATTTATTATGTTCCTGAGAAATCCCTGTAGTTCCTTTTCACTCAGAATTTAAGAATCTTAAAAGTTCGGCTGAAGAGTTGAAAGCGTATTGTATTCTTAGATTGCTTGGCTATCCTGACATACAGTTGAAACTTATTCTTAATGTCTGGTTATATAAGTTATATAATTCACATGTTACTGAGTTCTTGAAAGATCCCTGTAGCTCCTCTTCACTAAGAATCTGGTAAGAATTCTTAAAGGGGCCAGTGCCATGCATGGCACAGTGGGTTAATCCTCCGCCTGCCATGCTGGAATCCCATATGGGTGCAGGTTCTAGTCCCAGCTGCTCGTCTTCCAATCCAGCTCTCTGCTGTGGCCTGGGAAAGCAGTACAAGATGTCTCAAGTACTTGGGCCCCTGTACCTGCATGGGAGACCAGGAAGAAGCACCTGGCTTCAAATCAGCACAGCTCCGGCCGTTGCGGCCATTTGGGGAGTGAACCAACGGAAGGAAGACCTTTCTGTCTTTCCCTCTCACTGTCTGTAACTCTGCCTCTCAAATAAATAAATAAAATCTTTTAAAAAAAAGAATTCTTAAAAGTTTAGCTGTTATAATAGTCTCAGTTTCATTTTGGTTTTGTTCTTCTGAGCTCTGCTGAATTTTGACTGTATCCATATCACTTGTATCTCCATGTGGTATACTTTTGGCTTGTAGTTTAAAAAAATAATATTATGTTTTCAAAATCAGAATTGAAGAGATGGAAAGAAAAATGCAAAGAAATGGAAACCAAATGTAATCAAAGTTCAAATAAAGACCTTGAAGATTCAGATGTGCTTCATAAAAAGCTCAGTAAGCTTCAAGATGAATTACAGGTATGATTTTATCTATTGGTATACCTGTGTATCTATGTTGATTATATTTTCATTATACATCCTCTTATAATTCAGTATTTTATATTTTGCACTTAATGTAGATATGGATGAAACAATACCTGGGAATTATTAATACATGAACATAAATTTTCAGGGCACTGTGCAAATTACATGGGCAAAAAATTCTGAAGATACAAACTGTTATTGAGTTCCAATGGAAATGCAGTGGTTGGATCTCAATTTTATATTTTATGCATTTAATTTTAAAATCACCACTTAAATGTCTTTGTAGCCATATATCTGTTCCTTTGTTGGATACTGCTATGGAGAAGGTAACTATTAACTGTATTTTTGGGACTCAAGGAAGCATAATAATGATTTTGAAAAGTTGTCTGCATCTAAATTATTTTTTTATTTTAGGCTGTATATAATCAGATACTAAAAAAGTACAGAAACTTATAGTGGCTAATTTTATATTATAGAATTTATAAGTAGCTAGAAAGAAGAAAACACCATTAATTATGAAAAATAATATATCAACTATATTGAGAAAGTTCATATTAAGAAGCACTGGTATATTTTGTATTGTTCTAAAATAATGTGATTTCTTTCTTAGATTATGAACTTTGTAATACTGGAATACACTGCTATAGTTCATCTAGTACAGTGGTTCTAAAAATTTTTAAAGTCTTTTCATTTCAAACAGGTTTTTACTTGAATTTTTTGATATATAAAATATGTACTTGTGAACACTAAGGATTGGTAGAACTCAGCTTAAATATCATTGATCAGCTATATTCACTGTCTAGCTGTTTTGAATGTTCCTCCTGTTAACATAGGCTATTCTTTCTTTCTTTATTTAAAGATTTTATTTATTTATTTGAGAGGTAGAGTTACAGAGAGAGGGAGGGAGAGACAGAGAGAAAGGTCTTCCATCTGCTGGTTCACTCCCCAGATGGCCACAATGGCCGGTGCAGTGCCGATCTGAAACTAGGAGCCAGGCAGGATTTTCTTCCAGATCTTCCATGTGGGTGCAGGGCCTGAAGGACTTGGGCCATCTTCTACTGCTTTCTCAGACCATAGCAGAGGGCTGGATTGGAAGAGGTGCATCCAGGACTAGAACTGGCACCCATATGGGAGGATTAAACTACTGTGGCACAGTGCTGTCCCACTTATTCTTTACTTAGTATCCTAGATAACTAGTAATATTTCATTGTTAGAACTGCACCATCAGAAATGATCACCCTAAATGATGTCTTTTTTTTTCCCCTGGGATTTAGGAATTCCTTCCTCACTGTAACTCTTTCAAAATTTGATTTTTTTTTTAAGATTTATTTATTTATTTGAGAGGCAGAGTTACAGAGAGCAGGAGAGATAGAGGGAGAGGTCTTCCATCTGCTGTTCACTTCCCAAATGGCCACAATGGCTAGAGCCAGGCTCATTCAAAGCCAGGAGCCAGGAGCTTCTTCCAGGTCTCCCATGTAGATGTAGGGGCCCAAGCACTTGAGCCATCTTCCACAGCTTTCCCAGGCCATCAGTGGGGAGCTGGCTTGGAAGTGCAGCATCTGGGACTCAGACAGCACCCATATGGAATGCTTACGGCGCAGGTGGAGGCTCAGCCTACTACACCAAAGTGCTAGACCTGTAAATTGTTTATTTCTTAAGCTCACTGATAAAGAAAAAGACTTCAACTGGACTTTACAGCAATAAAGTTTTTCTTTTTTTTAAAGACTTATTTATTTGTTTGAAAGTCAGAGTTACACAGAGAAAGAAGGAGAGGGAGAGAGAGAGAGCGAGAGAGATGTTTTCCATCTGCTGGTTCACTCTGCAATTGGTGGCAACAGCTAGAGCTACACCGATCTGAAGCTAGGAGCTTCTTCTGTGTTTCCCATGCGGGTGCAGGGGCCCAAGGACTTTGGCCATCTTTTACTGCTTTCCAGGCCATAGCAGAGAGCTGGATCGGAAGTGGAGCATCCGGGACTTGAACTGGCGCCCATATGGGATGCCAGCACTGCAGGCAACAGCTTTACCTGCTATGCCAAAGAGCCAGCCCCAGCTATACAGTTATTAAATGAAGCACTGTTTAAGACAGTAGTTCAGGGGCCAGCTCTGTGACGCAGCAGGTTAACGCCCTGGCCTGAAGCTCCAGCATCTCATATGGGCGCCAGTTCGAGATCCAGCTACTCGACTTCCAATCCAGCTCTCTGCTATGGCCTGGGAAAGCAGATGGCCCAAGTGCTTGGGTCCCTGCACCCACATGGGAGACCTGGAAAAGCTCCTGGCTCCTGGCTTCGGATCGGTGCAGTTCCAGCCATTGTGGCCAACTGAGGAGTGAACCATCAGATGGAAGACCTCTCTCTCTGCCTCTCCTCTCTCTGTGTAACTCTGACTTTCAAATGAATAAATAAAATCTTAAAAAAAAAAAAAAAGACAGTAGCTCAGCGAATGTGTCTGTATAATATGAAATAAATTCTGAACATGTCATTTAAAGAAAAGCACAGTTTTTAAAAGCATAAAAAGTGATGGCTTGTATGAACATTTTGGAAAAGCAAATTTATTGACTATTGATGAGTGATAATAACATGTACCATTTATATTTATAGGAAACTGAACAAAAGTATAAAGCTGATAGAAATAAATGGTTAGAAGAAAAAACTCTGCTTATCAGTCAAGCAAAAGAAGCCGAGAGCCTAAGAAACAAAGAGATGAAAAAATATGCTGAAGACCGGGAGCGTTGCTTAAAGCAACAAAATGAAGTGGTTAGTAACAGTCATATCTTTGTGTTTCATTTGCTTTTCTTGAGGTTTATTCTTGAGAGTCTTCTCAGTCTCTGCATGGTTGCCTGATTTTTTTTTTTTTTCTTTTTTTGCTTTAAGGCAGATTTTCTATTTGTAAAACAATTTCACTGGCAGAGCTTATCTTGGCTTTTACTTAAGTTCTTGTTTTAGCAGTCCATTAAGCAAGTTGGGAAAATACTTAATTGCCTCTCAGTATCAAGAAACTGAATTGAGGAAATCTATTTCTTCTGATTGCTACAATATAGGAATATTTGTTGTTTTACCTACAATAATTATAGTTTTCTCTATAATATTTTAAAACTTTGCATTTTGAACTGTAAGTTCTAACTTAGTGTGTATGTTTTATGTCATAAGCCAATTTTATCAGGACTTTTCAAAAAGTCGACTAAATAGGTTTTTCTTTTTTTAAGATTTATTTATTTATTTGAAAGTCAGAGTTACACAGAAAGAGAAGAAAAGGCAGAGAGAGAGAGGTCTTCCATCCGCTGGCTCACTCCCCAGTTGACCACAATGGCTAGAGCTGTGCCAATCTGGAGCCAGGAGCTTCTTCTGGGTCTCCCACACAGGGGCAAGAACCCAAGGTCTTGGGCCATCTTCCACTGCTTTCCCAGGGGATAGCAGAGAGCTGGATTGGAAGTGGAGAAGCCAGGACTCGAACTGGCTTCCATATTGGATGCTAGCACTGCAGGCAACATCTTTACCTGTTTCACCACAGCCTCAGCCCCTGTTTTCCCTTTTTTAATTGGCTCTTAGTCTATTTGATATGGCAGAGTTGACAGTCAGAAAATGGAAATTAAAAGTTATTATCGGGGCCGATGCTCTCTCTCACAGAGAGGGAGAGGCAGAGAGACAGAGAGAGAGAGAGAGAGAGGTCCTCCATCCACTGGATCACTCCCCAATTGGCCACAGTGGCTGGAACTGCACCAGTCCAGAGCCAGGAGCCTCTTCCGGGTCTCCCATGCAGGTATAGGGGCCCAAGGACCTGGGCCATCCTCCACTGCCTTCCACTGTGCTTTATGCCACAGTGCTGGCCCCCAGATTGTATCTTACTTGTTTAGTTGTTCCTTAATCTCTTTCAGCATTGCTTTGTAGTTTTCCATGTTTACTTTTGTACCTATTTTTGTGAATTTATCACTGATTATGTCGTGAGCCTACTAGAAATGCTTCAAAAATTATTTCGCTATAATTTAACCTCTCATTTCCCATATATTGGTAAAATGCTGGCAGTAGCTTAAAAGCTACAGTTCTAGGGGCCAGCATTGTGGTGCAAGGCTAAGCTACTGCCTGTGATGCCTATGCCAGCAGTCCCAGCTGCTGTGCTTCTGATCCAGCTCCCTGCTAATGTGCCTGAGAAAGCAGCAGAAGATGGCTCAAGTATTTGGTCCTCTGGAGCTTGAAGCTCTTGGCTTCAGCCTGGACCAGCCTTGGCCCGTGCAGCCATTTAAGGAGTGAACCAGTAGATGGAAGATCTTTCTATTTGTCTCTTCCTTTTTCTCTCTCTGCCACTTGGCCTTTCAAAATAAGTAAATATATTTTAAAAAAGAAAAATCTGTAGTTCTATTTGTTTATTGAAATAAGTGTCCAGGAAGCTGATTTGTGGAATGAGATGGGACAAGAATAACTATAGCTTGTGGACATTTAGTTTATGTGATAGTGTTACATAATTTTTTTCAGATTATTTATTTATTTGAGAGGCAGAATTAGAGAGACAGACAGAGAGCTCCCCCATCCGCTGATTTACTCGCCAAATGGCTGCAACCGTAGGAGCTGCGCTGAGCTGATCCGAAGCCAGGAGTCAGGAGCTTCTTCCAGGTCTACCATGTGGGTACAGGGGCCCAAGCACTTTGGCCATCTTCTGCTGCTTTCCCAGGTGCATTATCAGGGAGCTGGATCAGAAGTGGAGCAGCTAGAACGCTAACTGGTGCCCACAGGGATGCCATACTGCAGGCAGCGGCCTAACTTACTATGCCATGGTGCTGGCCCCATATGTATTTTGTTGTATAGGTAAATATTTTCTCTAGACTTGACAATGTAGTTTGTTATGTAGTGTCTTCACAGTTGTATTCATGATGTTATGTATAATAACATTTTCTAAAATTCTTAACATTAATCATATTTCAAGATTTACTTTAATGTTTTCTCTACTTCTTGAATAGGAGATACTGACAGCACAGCTGGAAGAGAAAAATAATGACCTTCAAAAGTGGCGAGAAGAACGGGATCAACTGGTTGCCGCTTTAGAAATACAACTGAAAACACTGATCTCCAGCAACAAACAGAAAGATTATGAAATTGAGCAATTAAAAGAGATCACGTCAGAGGTTTCTAAAACAATAGTCAGTAGAATCTTGTTCTTTCTCTTTCTAGTGAACACAGAAAATTTTCAAAATTATTTGGTTAACTTTCAGAGATTAAATAAGTTTCAGTAGATCAAAGAGACATCAGAGGTTGAATAATTATGAGATTTCTCAATTTTTGAGTCTTCAATTGTCAGTGGCTTGAAACTTTGCTCTTTTTGTAATATTTTGGTCGTATATCTTAAGTTGAGTAATTAGAAAATGAACACTTTGTGATTTCATCCCTAGTCTATCTTTAAAATGTGAAAATGTGGTTCGGCCTAAAATATTGGTGACATGTAAATACTTAGGCCCACTCTTAGATTCAGTGTCTGCAGATACAAGTTATTCTGAAGATAAGCATTGCAGTGGAGAGAGAAATCATGAGTCATTTAGCATTTACTTTTGTAATATTATTTTGGGGCTGGAAATCTTGAATGAAGAGAGGACTGCCTTTCACAGTATGTCTTCCCAGTAAATCACATCAGGTGCATCTGAAGATAGTGTTACAGAATAAATGATCTGCACTTAAAGATCTGCTATGTTCAAGCCTTATTAAAATATGGGGTAAACAATATATGTGTATGTGAGAAAGACTTCCACATGACTAAAGATACTCAGAGACTGCCTTTTCAAAAAGAGGAATACCATGTCGTGTAAATAACACAAAGCAGAAAGTCAGAAAAACTAGCTATTGGCTGTTGTCACTGTGGCTTTGCAACCTTTGGGGAAAATTGCTTGACATTTCTAAACTTTATCTAAAATAGATAATAGCATCTTTGTAACAGAATTATGAAATTAATCCTGACATTATGAAATAGCATACTTCCTACCACGGTAGAAGTCAGAACATACTAGTTGCTTTCCTCGTTATAAAGTCAGTGGGATCTGTTATTATTTGATAATAATGCATAGGTGATGTAAGAGGTACATTTGACGTTCAATTTTAATGACTGTGATAAGAATGGTCTACATTGGAGTTTGTTAAGTTTTAAAATATAATGATACTTTTTTTAATTTAAAGATTTATCTTCTTCATTTGAAAGGCAGAGGGAGAGAGGGAGAAATGGAGAGACAGAGAGAGCGAGCGAGCTCTTCCATTTGCTGGTTCACTCCCCAAATGGCCACAAAGGCTAGGGATGGGCCAGGTGGAGGCAGGAACTTCTTCCCAGTCTCCCACATGGATACAAGGGCCCAAGGACTTGGGCCATCTTCCATTGCTTTCCCGGGGTCATTAGTAGGGAGCTGGATTTGAAGTGGAGCAGCTAGAACTCAAACTGGTGCACATATGGGATGTCGGCATTGTAGGTGGTGTCTTAACCTGTTACTCCATAACATTGGCCCCCTGATAGCTTTTTGTTTTTTTTTTTAAGATTTATTTGTATATTTGAAAGGCAAAGTTACAGAGAGGCAGAGGTAGAGAGACAGAGAGAGAGAGGTCTTCCATCCGCTGGTTCATTTCCCAGATGGCTGCAATGGCTGGAGCTGTGCCGATCCAAAGCCAGGAGACAGGAGCTTCTTCTGGGTCTCCCACATGGGTACAGGGGCCCAAGCACTTGGGCTATCCTCCAGTGCCTTCCCAGGCCATAGCAGAGAGCTGCATCAGAAGTGGAGAAGCTGGGACTTGAACTGGTGCCTATGTGGGATGCTTGCACTGCAGGTGGTTGCTTTAGCCACAGTGCCACAGCACCCCTCCTCCCTCCCACCCCCCCGTTCTTTGTAAATCACTTAATTAGGGTTTAGTAATAGAACCTATCTTTTTTTTTTTTTTTTTTTTTTTTTTTTGACAGGCAGAGTGGACAGTGAGAGAGAGAGACAGAGAGAAAGGTCTTCCTTTGCCGTTGGTTCACCCTCCAATAGGCGGCGCGGTGGCGCGCTGCGGCCGGCGCACCGCGGCCGGCGCACCGCGCTGATCCGATGGCAGGAGCCAGGAGCCAGGTGCTTTTCCTGGTCTCCCATGGGGTGCAGGGCCCAAGCACCTGGGCCATCCTCCACCGCACTCCCTGGCCACAGCAGAGGGCTGGCCTGGAAGAGGGGCAACCGGGACAGAATCCGGCGCCCCGACCGGGACTAGAACCCGGTGTGCCGGCGCCGCTAGGCAGAGGATTAGCCTAGCGAGCCGCGGCGCCGGCCAGAACCTATCTTATGACTAAGAAAATGTAATGAAGAGTGTCCTGCAAAAAAGTCTTAGTTGTCGTTGTGGTCTTTTCTATTCTGTGGCTATAGTTGCATTCCCAAAAAGTCTGTGGTTTTTCAAAATTGTATTATCAAAAGCAGTTGCTAAGGTTCAATTTCCAACTCAGTGTTGATCTTAGGTGTGTCATTTAATATCTCTAGGTCTGTATTTCCTCAACTGGAAATAGGAATAATGATACTTGCTTAACTAGAGTTATAGTGAAAGTGAAATGAGAGAATGTACGCGAAACATGTCTGCAGCTGAAGATAATATTTTAAATTTCTCCTTATAACAGTCCCCAAAAAGCTAGAAAGTTGTTCAGCGTTATTTCACTGTCTGAGTATGAAAAAGAAGTGGAAGGAGGGTCTGCTTATCATTGAAAAATCATTGGTTATTTCTGCCGCTTAGTCCACGCAAATCTTGATTTTATTTTTTATTCTTTATGTGAAGTGTTATGATATATTTTCAGTTTAACAATGGCTTGTTGTTTTAATATTTCCTTACTTTAGAAAACAGAAGTCATGGATATCAAGCCCACACAAAATAGTTCAGTAGATGCTAGCAAAGTTGAAACTGAACCTCAATCAGCAAATTTTGAAATTTCTGGGACTGCAGTAGAGGTGAGTATTTGGTTATACTGCTTTTTATTTTCTTTACTCAGCATTAACACTTGCAAGTATAATGTAGTTAATTGTTACAGTTTCCTTGCTATAAAGTTACCTATATATATACAGTCAGTTGGGTGAAGGAAAAATACAGGTGTTTGAGGAAAGATGATGAAATTCTTCTGGGAGGTTGGATCAGAAAGTGAACTTAATTTTTTAAAAGCATCTGTTAATATAAACAAGTTTGATGATCAGAAATAGGAAATACCGGCCGGCGCCACTGCTCACTAGGCTAATCCTCTGCCTAGCGGCGCCGGCACACTGGGTTCTAGTCCCGGTCAGGGCGCCGGATTCTGTCATGGTTGCCCCTCTTACAGGCCAGCTCTATGCTGTGGCCAGGGAGTGCAGTGGAGGATTGCCCAAGTGCTTGGGCCCTGCACCCCATGGGAGACCAGGAGAAGCACCTGGCTCCTGCCTTCGGATCAGCGCGGTGTGCTGGCCGCAGCGCGCCGGCTGCGGCGGCCGTTGGAGGGTGAATCAACGGCAAAGGAAGACCTTTCTCTCTCTCTCTCTGTCTCTCTCTCTCACTGTCCACTCTGCCTGTCAAAAAAAAAAAAAAAAAAGGAAATACCACAAAAGATAATATGATAATTTACTATAAGGAGTTTCTTTAATAAAACATTGTTTTAAATAGTGTTTTTTTAAATTGTATCCATTTAATAACTTCCTCACCAATCTTCAATAACTCATTAAGCGTTTCCTTAATTTATACTGGGTTTAGGCTTCTGTAAATAATCTTGAACAACATAAAGATTCTCAGATTAGATATGAGTTAGATAAAAATTTTGTTACTTAATAGTTCTTAAGATAAAATTACTTTAGAAATTATTTATTAAGCATGTTTATTGGGAACACTCAATGTTGGGAACTTGAGGATACAAATATGGTATGATCACCATCCTCAGGGAGTAAGGAATCTAATAAGACAGATACATAAATGACTAACTTGTGTGACCTTACCTTATTGGCTAAGCATTATTGTAGAAGTATGAAGTGCTACTACCAGGAACACTGAGGAAGATGCATTGAATTTTGCTTGGGTGGTTGTGGTAGTGGATTAAGAAAAGGTAATATTACTAGATCACAAAGCTGAAGAGAAGCTTACTAATTAAAAAGTGCAATGAGAAGGTTATTTTAATATAGAAAAATAACATGAACCGTTCCTTTTGTCTGGCTTTTCCTTGATCCTTCTAGGTAGAATTCCAAGTAATTAGCATTGATCAATACAAACCATAAAACTTGTGGAAAATCTTGATGTTGGTCCATAAACAAAAATTGATTCTTGATTGCTTGAGCAGTCACACATAGTGGGACATTTTCATTTTATTAAAGATTTATTTATTTTATTTGTAAGGCAAAGTTACAGAGAGAGCAAGAGGAAGAGACAGAGCTTGAGATCTTTCATCCGCTGGTTCACCCCACAAATGTCCTCAATGGTCGGAGCTGGGCCAGACTGAAGCAGGGATTTCTTCCCAGTCTCCCATGTTGGTGCAGGGGCCCATGCACTTGGGCCATTTTTTGCTGCCTTCCCAGGCATATCAGCAGGGAGCTGGATTGGAAATGGGGCAGCCAGTACTCAAAACAGTGCTGGTGTTACAGACAGCAGCTTTACTTGCTACGCCACAACACTAGCCCCATGCAACATTTCTTTTACTCCAAGTTTTATATATATATTGTCCTAAAGCCTCTTGGTTCTAATTTCTTATTAATAATTCTAGCAAGGAGCCAGTGTTGTGGCATAGTGGGTAAACCTGTCACCTTCGATACTAGCATCCCACATTGGTGCTGGTTCATCATGTCCTGGTTATTCCATTTCCTTTTTTTTTTTTTTTTTTTAAAGATTTTATTATTAATTCATTTGAAAGTTATACAGAGAGAGAAGGAGAAGCAAAGAGAGAGGCTTCCATCTGCTGATTCACTCCCTAATTGGTCGCAATGGCTGGAGCTGATCTGAAGCCAGGAGCCAGGAGCTTCTTCCAGTCTCCCACGCAGGTACAAGAGCCCAAGGACTTAAGCCATCTTCTGCTGCTTTCCCAGGCCATAGCAGAGAGTTGGATTGGAAGTAGAGCAGCCGGGACTCGAACCAGCACCCATATGGGACGCTGGCACTGCAGGTGGCAGTTTTACCACTATGCCACAGTGCTGGCCCCTGCTCCATTTCCAGTACAACTTCCTATTTAATGGCCTGGGAAAAGCAGCAGAAGGTGGTTCAAGTGTTTGGGCCCTTGTAGTCACATGGGAGACCCAGATAAAAGCTCCTGCTTTTGCTTGGCCCATCCCTGGCTATTGTGACCCTCTAGAGAGTAAACCAGCAGTTAGAAGATCTTTCTGTTTCTGTTCTCTTTCTTGTAGCACTGCCTTTCAAATAAAAATAAAAATAATTCTAGTGGTTATCGTATATTTCACAGTCTTGGGGCATCATTATAATACTATTGTGTGTGTGTGTGTTTAAGATTTATTTTATTTATTTGAAAGGCAGAGTTTACAGAGAGAGAGGGAGAGACAGAGAGATCTTCCATCTGCTGGTTCACTCCAAAAATGGTTGCAATGGCTGGCGCTCAGTCAGGCTGATGCCAGGAGCTTCATCTGGTTTTCCCACGTGGGTGTATGGGCCCAAGGACTTGGGCTTCTTTATGTTGCTTTCCCAGGCACATAAGCAGGGAGCTGGATCAGAAGTGGAGCAGCCGGTACTCAAACCAGTGCCCATATGGCATGGTGGCATTGCAGGCAGTGGCTTAACCCGTTACACCACAACACCAGCCCCTATTTTGTATTCTTGCCTTCATGAAATCTGCATACTCTACTGGGGTGAAAAATAAAATAAAAATGTCCCTGTAGGGTGAAAGTCTGAAATGATTCATTCACATAGTAGTTGAGTTTGGATGTTCCACTGGACTTAGCATGTGACTTCTGTGGGCCTAGGCTTCTCATTGTGCAGTGGCTGGATTCTGAGATGGGGCATTTTGAGGAGGAGTGTCCTGAAAGTTAGTGTTCCAGGAGGAAGGAAATGAAGTTACAGTGCTTTGTATGATAGAGCCTAAGAACCATGATGTAGTGGGATGTAGTAGAAGTTAAGACCAGTCAAGATTCAAAAGAGGGGAAAAAAAGACCCCATATCTAGATGGCAAGAGTAGCAACAAATTTGCAGCCAATTTGAGATGTATATAACTGTACTGCTTGTTAAAAATTCCACACTCTTCCTTTGCAGATTTCTGACTTGATATGTTTGTGGTAGGGTCCAGTAATCTTTTTTTTTTTTTAAATATTTATTTATTTGAAAATCAGAGTTTAAAAGTGAGAGATTTCCCATCCTCTAGTTCACTCCTAGATGGCCACAATGGCCGGGCAGGAGCCAGGACCTTCTTCCAGGTCTCCCACATGGGTAGCAGGGGCACAAGGACTCGGACCATTTTCTTTATTTTTTTTTAAATGTTTTTTTTTTTTTTTTTGACAGAGTTAGACAGTGAGAGAGACAGAGAGAAAGGTCTTCCTTCCGTTAGTTCACTCCCCAAATGGCTGCCATGGCTGGCGCTCTGCGCCAATCCGAAGCCAGGAGCCAGATACTTCCTCCTGGTCTCCCATGTGGGTGCAGGGACCCAAGCACTTGGGCCATCCTCCACTGCCTTCCTTCCCGGGCAACAGCAGAGAGCTGGACTGGAAGAAGAGCAACTGGGACTAGAACCCAACGTCCACATAGGATGCTGGCACTGCAGGCGGAGGATTAACCAAGTGAGCCACGGCGCCGGCCCTCCCGGACCATTTTCTGAAGTTGCTTTTCCCAGGCCTTTAGCAGGGAACTGGATTGGAAGTAGAGCTGCTGGGTCTCCAACTGGTGCCCTCATGGGATGCCAGCATTGCTGGTTGCGGCTTTACCCACTGTGCAACAATGTCAGTCCCCTCCAGTAATCTTTTGTTTTATTTTTTTGTGTGAGAGGCAGAGTTATAGACAGAGAGAGGGAAAGACAAAGGTCTTCCATCTGCTGGTTCATCACCAGATGGCTGCAACAGCAGGAGCTCGGTTGATCAGAAGCCAGGAGCTTCTTCCCAGTGCCTCATGTGGGTGCAATGGCCCAAGTACATGGGTTGTTTTCTGTTGCTTTCTTAGGCCATAGCAGAGAGCTGGATCGGAATTGGAGCAGCCGGGACTAGAACCAGTTACCTATGGGATGCTAGCATTGCAGGCGGAGGCTTTAGCCCACTACACCACGGTGCTGGCTCCCCCTTCAGTAATGTTTAAATAAATTCTCTAGGTAATTCATGGGCTTGTACACCTTTGAGAAATGTGGATCTATAAATTTCCTCCAGTTTTAACATACCATGTATAAACCAAGAGAGGGTAAATGATAACTCAGTCTTCTATCATTGTTGTCCTCACTTTTTATCTTTCCCAATTTATTGCCATGAATAGTTGCTTAGAAGAATTTGTTTTTGTGATTTATAAATTCATATTCTACAAATAAATTATTTTTTACTTTTTGATTATGTTTTAGGATGGATCTGTAGTTCTTGACTCTTGTGAAGTGTCAACAGAAAATGATCAAAGCACTCGATTCCCAAAACCTGAGTTAGAGATTCATTTTACACCTTTGCGACCAAACCAAATGGCGGTGAAACACTCTGGTTGTACTACACCAGTGACAGTTAAGATTTCCAAGGCCCGGAAGAGGAAGAGTAATGAAATGGAGGAGGTAATGAATTACTTAACTGATGAGTAAATTTAACAACCAATTCTTATTGAGTTCAGTTGTACTACATAGTTGAGCTTTGCTGCACTGCGTTCCTGTTGAGAAGCCCCACTCTTTCAGTCCTGCACAATCATTAATGGCATTTTTTTTTAAAAAGATTTACTTATTTATTTGAAAGGCAGAATTACACAGAGATTGAAATCTCCACTGGTTCACTTCCTACATGGCTACAGTAGCCAGGGCTGGGTCAGGCTGAAGCTGGGAGCTTGCAGCTTTAGTGGGATCTCCAGTGTTTGTGGTAGGGCCCCAAGTACTTGGGCCATCTGCTGCTGCTTTCTCAGGTGCATTAGAAGGGAGCTGGATCAGAAATAAAGTAACCAGGACTTGAACCGGTGTCCATATGGGATGCTGGCATTGCAGGTGGTGACTATGCCACCTTGCCAGCCTCAATTTATGGCAGATTTTATACCCTTAAAGAATATCGCTTGAAAAAAAGAGGAGATAGAAATTCCACAGCCATTTCTTGACTTTTGGTGTATTTCTGACCTCTTGTACCAATAGATGCTCATGTTTTCAAGTTGTAGGTCATAACTCATTGGTAGTTAATGAAATCAATTACTGGGTCATTCTGACTTAAAAACAGAAACAAAAACTTGAACAGAATAGAAAAATATCGGTATCTGTTGCAAAGAGTAAAAATATTTTATTTTTGCAATGTGAAAAAAGAGTATCACTGGTTTAATAGTACTCAAAAAAAAAGCTGTGAATATTAAAAATTATAACATATACCTTCTCTCATTTAAACTAATAGATCCAATGATGGTATGTTTTACTGCAGAGCTGTTTTTGTGTACTAGTCCTATTCAAATTCATCTTTCCTCATAAGAAAAAGGATTGATGTAGAAATTAAATAAACTGAATTGCTAACTTGCTTGAATGTAATTTTTGTCAGTGAACTAAAATCTTAAGTCACTGATTATTGGAAGAAAAATTCTTTCTTCATCAGCCAGTGTTAAGATTTGTGCTTTTATGTAGTTGCAGGCTAAAAAGTACTTCCTTTTAATTAATGCAGCTCCTTGATTGTCAGGCTGCCTCTCTGCTGTACCCTAACCATGCAGATTTGACAGGTCACATAAGCTTGCTGTTTTTCAGTTTCTTCCTTTTTGAAATAATGGATAGATATGTTTAAATTGCTTAGCTTTCGCTCTACATATGATAGAACAAAATAAATGGTCATACTTATTTTTAAAGTAATCTGTAAAGTTTAAATACAGGCTTTCTAGCAAAATAACTTTTTTCCAACTTTCTTTTACTCCTGTAAAGAGTAGTATATTTTCAAGCTGTTGGAAGAGCAGAAATAGTATTATCCATACTCCTGAAGCTCTCTGTCAGGTAATAAACTTGCTGAGTGAATATTATTTAGTATAGTTTTCCTGCTACACATATAACACCCTTAAAGATTGTTTTTGTAGAGTTAATTTATTAACTTCTAATCTATAGTTATTTAATTTATATTCATAACATCTTAAATACCATTAAAACACTAGATATTTGGCTTTCATCATCTTCATGTCAGTTTTTCCTTAATCCACTTTTTTTCCTCAAGAGAAAAGGGAAATTGAGTATAGTACTCAAAGGTCAAAATTTTATTTATTTTACTGTTGGTATGTACCCTTCATGTGTATTTCAGAGACGTTTTTCAGATAGATAACGTGTATACTCCAAAAAAGGTCATAAAAGATGGAGCTATCCTAACTGATTTAATCAACTTTTCACTGCTGTCATGAGCTGAGGATATGGGTCCTCATGAAAGTCATTTATATAATGCTTTATTCCTATTCTGTAAAGACTCCAAAGACCTCTTTACTGAATAATCCTTGTGTGGTGGCCTGGCTTTATAGTCTTCTCCCCTCCCCTCGCCGCCTTCTTTTTTTCCCTCCCTCCCTCCCTCCCTTTCTCTCTTTCTCTCTTTTTCTTTCTTTCTTTCTCTCTTTCTTCCCCCCTCTCTCTTTCTTTCTTTCTCTCTCTCTCTTCCTTTCCCCTTCTCTCCTTCTCTCCCTCCTTCCACCCCCCTTCTTTCTTTTCAGGGTTTATTTATTTATATGAAAATCAGAGTTACAGAAAGAAGGAGAGACAGAGAGAGATCTTCCATCTTCTGCTTCACTCCCCGGATGGTTACAATGGCCAGGGGTGGGCCAGGCCAGAGCCAGGAGATTCATCTTGGTTTCCCACATAGGTGGCAGGGCTGAAACAGTGGCACCATCTTCTGCTGCTTTTCTCAGGCCATTAGCAGGGAGCCGGATCCAAAATGGATCAGCTGGATTTCCAGTTGGCACCCATTTGGGATGCTGGCATTGCAGGTGGCAGTTTTATGTGCTATGCCACCTGAGTAGAATTTTCTATAGAATTTACTTGCCTCCCGTGATTACCATCTGCCTTTCCTCTTTCATCCTCGTTCAGGAGTCTGCTCCTCACGACCCTGTGACTTGTACCTTGTACTTTGTACTGGGATTCTGATGTTCAGTCATGACTTTTTTTCTCTGCTGCTTTTTTCTCCCTTTTAGGCTTGTAATCTTCCATATAATTAGAATTTGTACCAGTTAAACTTACTGAATATTTCTATAAAAGGCTTTGTTTTGTGTAAGATTATTTGGGAAAAACGAGTAAGATTGGACATAGATACTTGAAGATTTGAGAGTTGAGGTGTATTGCTATACAGTATTTTTTTTTTTAAGAATTATTTTATTTATTTGAAAGACAGAACTACGGAGAGAGGTAGAGACAGAGAGATAGGTCTTCATCCGCTGGTTCACTCCCCACGTGGCCGCAACGGCCGGAGCTGCACTGATCCGCAGCCAGGAGCCAGGAGACTCCTCTGGGTCTCCCATGTGGGTGCAGGGGCCCAAGGACTTGGGCCATCCTCCATTGCCATCCCAGGGCATAGCAGAAAGCTGGATTGGAAGAGGAGCAGCCAGGACTAGAACCGGTGCCCATATGTGATGCTGGCACTTCAGGCCAGGGCTTTAACCCGCTGCAACATAGGGCTGGCCCCAGCGATACAGTATTTTAAAGATGAATTTGAAATAAAACAGTTTATTTAACTTCATTATTTATGATGTGATTGTGTGTGTGTGAAAAATTCCCACCTTCCATTAGGGCTTCTAAACTTCAACACGTTAACACTTTGGGGGTAGGTACTTACTTTTGTGTGGGCTGTTCTGCACATTACAGGGTTATTTGGCAGCATCTCTGGCCTCTCTCCTGTAGTAGCAAATAACATCTTACTTCCTCCCTGGCAGAGAAAACAAAAATATTTCCAGATATTGCTTGTGTCCTGTGAAATCAAAAGCACTCTCAATTAAGAAGCATTGTTTTAAGTGGCAACACTTGTATAGCATTTTATGGATTTTCTTTTCTGAGTCTACAGAAAGAACGTTTTGTCAGGAAATTAACCAGTGCTGACATTCATTACTTTTAGGCTTTGGTAAAATGTGAAAACAAGAAGAATGCTACCCCCAGAAGTAATTTGGAATTCCCTGTTTCAGAGCATAGAAATTCTTCTATCAAAAAAGAACAAAAGGTTTGTCCATTTGATTTTCCAAAATTGATTATTTTTTTTAATATTTACTTATTTATTTGAGAGGCAGAGTTAGAGAGAGAGTGGGAGAGACAAAGAGATCTTCCATCTGCTGGTCCACTCTCCAAATGGCCTCAATGCCAGGGCAGGGCTAGGCTGAAGTTAGGAGCTTCTTCTGGGTCTCCCATGTGGATGCAGTGGCCTAAGTATATTCTGTTGCTTTCCAAGGTGCATTAGAAGGGAGCCAGATCAGAAGTAGAACAGCCTGGACATGAACTGGTGCTCTTATGGATGCCAGTGCTGCAGGTGGTGGCTTTACCCACTGGGCTACAGTGCTGGTCCTCCAAAATCGACCTTTTTTATAGCTTAAATTTATAAACCAAAAAACAGAAATAAAGATATCAAATTCTGATTAGTAATGATCTAGAATTCCAGTTTTGTCTAATTATATCTCATTTATCTTGCCTTTCCTATACGTCTCTTAGCTTGGAATATAACCGTTAGCATTTGGCCAATAGCAGGTTTGACACTTGGCCTAACTCTTCTTGCCTTTCTTTGACCCTTTCTTCTCTCTCTTCAGTCCCAAATTCCTTGTATGAGAATTCCTAACCTGTCTCTGGCCTCTTTAATTTAATTGCTGCCATCACTTGTTACCTTCTGACTTTCCACATCAACAGTAACTAAAATTATTTGTTTATTAGGTTTGCACACGTCAATCATCTAAGAAAACATATTCTTTACGGAGTCAGGCATCCACAATAAGTATAAACTTGGCCACTAAGAAAAAAGAAGGGACACTGCAGAAATTTGGAGACTTCTTACAACATTCTCCAACAATTCTTCAATCAAAAGGTTTGTAGAAAATTAAGTGACCTTTTCTGTTAGATGTGGAGTACTTTCTAGTATCTGATTGGTACAAACCTCAACAATTGTTTTGTGGATATTAGACCCACAAGCAGGCATCATTGTACACTTGGTACAGTGGGAGGTGTGGGGAGCAACCCGGACTAGACTAAGTTACTGGAATTAAGACTTATTCTATGCATCTGCTCTCCCACAATATGGCGCTGGGAGAGGAGAAAACAGCTTCTACGCAGCTGCCTTTTGCCAACTTGAGTGATGACCTCCAGGAGCTGATCCTGCTCCTGATTGGAGGAGAGCAGCGTACTCGGTGTGTGGGCAGCCGAGTTGGGATTGGCGGAAGAGGACTATAAGGGAGGAGAGAGACAGCATGCACCAGGAACATCTAAGGGGAACATCTATCTGAAGGAACACCTGAGCAGCCCCCGAGAGAGCCGGCCGGCGGTGTGCCGCTCCCCTGCGGAAGTGGGGAAAGTGGCCAGGGGGAACCGCCCTTCCACGGAGGTGGAAGGGACAGTAGCCAACCCGGGAAGAACCAGCAGCAAACCCGGGGAGGGCCGAGCAGACGAAAGAACAGCGCAGGGTCTTGTGTCGTTCCTCTGCGAAGAGGGGGAGCGACAGGAGGAAACAGATGAAAGGATGAAATACCTAGGTGTTCGCTGTAATTAACACAGGTAGAGTACCATTGAGGAATGGAGAGTGGTGCTCATGCAATTCCAGGTAGCAGTATGCGTCTGGCATGTAGAATGTTGAGGGAGGGTGGAAGATTAGATTTTTGGGGAGATTACCTGAGTGGCAGCACTAGAATGAGTTGGATACCAGAGGTGGGGAGAATGGGTGGGGAAAATGACTAGAAGCAGGGAACATTTAAATTGAGTGAAATGGTTGTGTAAAAAATATTTTTGAGAAAACTTAATAACAGAGGTTCTCAAACTTTTTTTTTTTTAATTTTAACTACCACATTTAAGGCAAACATGTAGTATTTGTCTTTCTCTGGCTTATTTTACTCAAAATGATGCCCTCCGGTTACAAGCATTTTGATGCAAATGATAGAATTTAATTTTTATCATAGTTGAATAATATTCTGTTGTATATTTATATTTATGTACCACATTTTCTTTATCCATTCATCTCCTGATGGACACCTTATTTGATTCATATTTTGGCTCTTGTGAATAGTGCTGCTATAAACGTGGTGCAGGTATCTCTTTGATAGAATATGTCATGGCTTTTGGGTGTATACGCAGTGGTAGGATTGCTGGATTGTATGGAAAGTCTGTTTCTAGTTTTTAAAGAAATCTTCATACTGTTTTCCACATTGATTGCACTGATTTTCATTCCCATTAGCAGTGTACAAAGTTCCGTTTTCTTCTTATCCTCACCAGCATTTGTTACTCTGTTTTTTGGATGAAAGCCATGCTTTCAGGCTTTTTTGTTTATTTTTTCAAAATATTTTAAAAATGTGTAGTTTATGTAAGTATAGAAAATATGTATAAGGATATATAGCAAACAAGTATCTAAAAATGGAGAAGTGCTTATTATTTAGATTCTTAAGTATTTTATTTAAGTTATAATGACTGTCTTTTATATGTTAAAAAGACCCATGTTGCTTGCTTGGCTGAGTTCCTTGGTTTTCCTGTTAGCTTACCTAGCATGGATTTCTTTTCTTTCTTTTTCACGCACGTTTAGCAATATAAGGTGTCCCTGTTTGGATTGGACTGCAGTGCAGACATATGTGTTGTGGTGGGTCACTGGGAAACGCAGTGGGAAGGAAGAGCATAGAGCTGGGTTCCTCCTTCAGATTTTGCCGCTCTGGTGACCTCCGCTGTTACCCAGTGTTGCAGCTCTCCCAGCTTCACCTTCTGCCCTTTTCCTGTACATTCAGTCCATGACAGCCAGAGTGATCTTTTCAAATTTTAAGTTAATTTATGTTTTTCCTGTTTAAATCCTTTAAGGATTTTGCATTCCTCTGTGTGACCTGATTGCTGATGCCTTCTCCAAACTCCTAGTGTTCTGTGGATTGCTGTCTAGCCAGCTTTAATCCTGCTAGCCTCTGACAGTGGCTAGACTATACCAGTTTCCTTGAAGTCATTGCCTTCTTTTACATTTTCTTGTTTTTTTTCCCCCCACCTAGGACATATCCTGACATTTCCTGTAGCTGCCTCCTAAAACTTGAGATCTCATACTGATTCTATGAAGAGAGAGACCCCTTCCACTTCCCAGTCACTAACCCTCATCCCTGTCTTCATTTGATCTTCATTACCGAATCCTATTGTTTTCATCTTAGCACTTAATTAAACTATAATTCTTTGTTACTGTCTTATAAGTGCCATAAGAACAAGATGTCTGTCTGGTTCATACCCTTAGCTCTCAGTGTAGTGACTGGCTGGTAATAGTGAAGAGTTTGACTCCAAGGCAAAACCATGCAGGATTTTTTTCAGGCCCTACCATCAACAATTACAAGGACTGCCGGGCCTCAAGGAGTGGAAGCTTCCCTCTTACACTGCACTTGGTGTGCAGTTGATGCATTCTAGTCTCCTGGGCTGGGGGGAGGGATCGTGCTCTTCCACATGTCTGTATCCCTAGCTGTTTGCCTCCATTCAGACCTTGTTTGTTGGGATCTCCAGAGAGATCTTCCTTAGACATCTCAGCCAAAGACCTTATGGAGGAGGGAGGAAAGGAGGATAATCTGAAGCTACTGTTTCCCACTGTGACTTAGTATTTTCCCACTCCTGGCCCCTCCTCTGTACTGTTAGCTGCCCACCCTGAGATCCTTCAAGAGTCTTTCATTTGTGGCTGCCAGGACAGTGAGATGTATGCTGATCCACCTTGACCCTAGGCAGTGCACCATGCCATGCAGGAGTATAGAAGGGGATGGATAGAGTGTGCTTTCTCAGGTGTAGTCTCGTGCTTACACTGCTGCATTAAGTCTTTAAAGGGGTAGAGTGTGACTTTCATTTTGGCTTGTTGCCTTAATTGATTCCTTTGATTGTGGAAGCTCAGTTTACTCAAGTTCACCTCACTTCAGCTCTTGGCAAGTAGACTCTGATTTAAATGTTATTTTATTACTTTTTTTTTTTGAAAAAGTAATGTGGGGCTGGTGTTTGAGTGATTTAAAATGCTGGTTGGGACACCTTTTTTTTCATATCAAAGTGCCTGGGTTTGAGTCCTGTCTCTGTTCCTGATTTCAGCCTTCTACTGGTTGGTAACCAGGATGCAGTGGTGATGGCTCAACTAATTTGGATTCATGCCACCCACATAGGAGACCTGGTTTGAGCTCCCAGCTTCTGGCTTCAGTCCCCCTTGTGGGCATTTGGAGAGTAAACCAACAGATGGCAGCTCTCTCTTGTCTCTTTTTCTTTCTGCCTCTTAAATGAATAAATAAAAATTAAATCTTTAAATGTCGTAAGACTAAAAAAAGATAAAAAGGTATAATAAATGTAATTGATAACATACACATGATTTTCTATCCAGGAATTTTCCCAGATGGAAATAAATTTTCTACTAAAATCAGTGTCTGTAAATTATTTCAAAGATTTATTGATTTATTTGAAAAAGTTACAGAGAGAGAAGGAGAGGCAGAGAGAGATAGAGGTCTTCCATCCTCTGGTTCACTCCCCAGATGGCTGTGACAGCTGGAGCTGTGCAGATCTGGAGGCAGGGGCCCAAGGACTTGGGCCATCTTCTGCTGCTTTCCCAGGCCATATCAGAGAGCTGGATTGGAAGAGGAGCAGCCGGGTCTCGAAACAGCACCCACATGGGATGCTGGCACTTGAGGTCAGGGCGTTAACCTGCTGTGCCATAGTGCCACCCCAAGTATCTGTAAATTAAAAAAAAAAAAGAGGCAAATGTACATAGTAAGACAATTTGAAATTCTTTTTTTCTACTTCCCAGAAGGAATACCTAATAATGTGGTATCTATTTTTGTGTGTGTGTGTGATTTTTTTCTTTTGTTGTTCATGATTTCATGTGTTTTTTAGGCATTTAATTTTTTCTTTGTAAATTTTCTATTAATGTCATTATACTGTGGACATATGCTAGTGCTTTTCTTCGAATTTGTGTATGTTCTTTATTAAGGACTTCAAACTTTTGCAATCAGAAAATTATTTATTTCAGAAATTAACGTTTTTTTTCATAGCAAAGAAGATAATTGAAACAATGAGCTCTTCAAAGCTCTCAAGTGTAGAAGCAAGTAAAGAAAATGTGTCTCGACCCAAACGAGCCAAACGGAAATTATACACAAATGAAATTTCATCTCCTCTTGATATATCTGGCCAAGTGGTAAGCTAGTGTTTCAGCTTTCATCAGTATAAAGTTCTTATTCTTTTTCTCAAGTATTCTTAATGATGTTGGTTTTATTATGATTTGAATTTCTATCCTGTAGATCAAATTTCTTAAAACAACTTATACTTAAGATATACTTTTGGTATGTTACATTCCTATTAATGAGATACAAATACTGCATCGATGTAAACAAGTGTCATACATTTGCATTTGAAAAAAAATCAGAGGGATGTATTTCTGTCAATAGAGTTAGTCTATTTAGTGATTTACTTGCCTCTAACATTAATTTTTCTTGTTATCTTTGTAACAAGGGTTGTACAAATCTGGGCCCAAATGTGCCTGGTAAAAATATGTCGTTGACATTCAGTCATTTCCTCCCACCTTTCCTGTAAGCCTCCCAGGTTCTATTAAGAAGAAATGGTTATTGTCACCCAGACTGTGTGACTCATTCTCACTCAGAACATTCTGTGCTATTAGAGGGAAGGTTCTAATTTTTCTCTCATGCTTGTGTTTGCTCACTGGATGAAAGTAAAGGAAAAAAAACTTCAAAAGGAAGTGGTCCAGAAAAGTCAGGAGAGACCTATCACTATCAGATATGAAATTGACACTTGAAAGCAAGTGGCAAAGAATTAGGATCAATTAGGACATGCGCTTAGTACTATTCTGTTATTTACCATCTATCTGATTAGTATATAACTTCCTTTCTTGGCTGAAGATTATTTCTTAGTAGCAGAATAATGTGCTTTGTAAGTTATATACTTGTTGCCAAGATGGAACATCCATTCCTTAAAAATTATTCAAGACACTTGTCTACAATTATTTTAATAATTATTTCAAGCTATAGTCTGGAATTTAATACAGATTATAGGTTTTTTTTTTAATACTAGAATTGTGTAGTGTTGAGAATCTTTTACAAAATCTATTACTTCTTTAGGTTTGTATTTTTATAGAAGATGATATACCTACAATCTCAGGACAAAAATACCCTAATATAGTTGATATGTCAGTGATTAAGTATGGGAACCTATCATCTATTTTAAACCAGCTTTCTTTTTGATTTTCACTTACAATTTTTGAAACTGTAAAATTGTCAATTTCAGATTTTAATGGACCAGAAAGTGAAGGAAAGTGATCATCAGATTCTGAAGCGAAGACTTCGAGCAAAAACAGCCAAATAAATCACTTATGGGGAATGTTTTAATATATAACTTTAATATTCATAATCATTGTAACTTGCATCCTGACTTTTTAAAGATAACTGTATATTATGATTTATTAAATACCTCTGTATAGAGATTGCTGTTTTATATATAGTGTAATTTTAACTCAATAAAGAAAGTAAGTTAACAGTCAGTTTCTTGTGTACTTTTTAAGCCTTTTTAATAACAGCTCTTTCCAGATGGTCTTTATTTCCCTGTTATCTCAGGCTTTTTAACAGTGAAGATCCTAGGAAGGATACTGTTATTGTTTATTTCTCTACACATGATGTCATAGGTCAGTTTTTTGGTTTTCTTGTATTTAATCTGTATTAACAGTTTCTTCCTGGGGCTGGCGCTGTGGTGTAGTGAGTAAAGCCGCCGCCTGCAGTTCTGGCATCTCATATGGGCACTGGTTCAAGTCCTGGCTGTTTCACTTCCGATCCAGCTCTCTGCTATGGCCTGGGAAAGCAATAGAAGATGGCCCGCCGGCGCCGCGGCTCACTAGGCTAATCCTCCGCCTAGCGGCGCCGGCACACCGGGTTCTAGTCCCGGTCGGGGCGCCGGATTCTGTCCCGGTTGCCCCTCTTCCAGGCCGGCCCTCTGCTGTGGCCAGGGAGTGCAGTGGAGGATGGCCCAGGTGCTTGGGCCCTGCACCCCATGGGAGACCAGGAAAAGCACCTGGCTCCTGGCTCCTGCCATCGGATCGGCGCGGCGCGCCGGCCGCGGCGGCCATTGGAGGGTGAACCAACGGCAAGGGAGGACCTTTCTCTAAGGAAGATTTTTCTCTTTTTCTTTTTTTCACGTTCACTACTCTGCCTGTCAAATAATAAAAAAATTAAAAAAAAAAAAAAAAAAAAAAAAAGAAGATGGCCCAAGTCCTTGGGCCTCTGCACTCAATGAGAGACCTGGAAGAAGCTCCTCACTTCTGGTTTCGGGTCAACACAGCTCTGGCCACTGTGGCCAGTTCGGGAGTGTACCATCAGATGGAAGACAGACTCTGTGTAACTCTGATTTTCAAATAAATAAATAAATCTTTAAAAAAAAAAAAAAGAATTTCTTCTCACCGTATCTGTTAGGCTGTGAATATGATTTTTTTAAAGAAAGATTTATTTATTTTATTTGGAGGCAGAATTACAGGGCAAGGGAGAGAGAAATCAAGATCTTCTATCCACTCCTTCTCTCCCCAGATTGCTCCAACAACCCAAGCTGGGCCAGGCAGAAGCTAGGAACCAGGAGTTTAACCCAAATCTTCCTCATCGGTAGCATCTGCTGCTTGGAACTTGGGCATCTTCGGCTTCTTGTCCAGGAACTTTAGCAGGGAGCAGGATCCGAAGTAGAGTAGCCAGTACTTGAACTGGTACCCATGTGGGATGCCAGCTTTGTACATGGTGGCTTAATCTGATAAGCCACGATGCTGGCCCCCTATACAATTGATTTTATATATCTGTTTTTATTACAATTAGGATTTAGGGAATAAGCATGTATAAATCTTCTGTTTACCAAACCGTGTATATAAATTATTGAGAAAAGATAACATGTCTTTATTTTTATTTATAACTTTATAGAGCTGACTTTCTGACTTTTCTAGGGTGCAAAAGATTAAAACAAGATTAGAATCAGAGAGATAACATCTAGAAAAGATACGGAATTTTAGACTTGGAAGGACCTTAGAAATCAATTTTCTTCATTTTTACATATGAGAATCCCAAGTCTCAGAAAGTTTGCTTACATCTGTAAGGTCATATAGCTTAGATGCATTGAGCTAAAAGTACTTCTTTTAGTGTTGCTTACTCTGTTACAGTGATGACCTTGAATAAACAAGAAAGTTGTCTTTAGTGTTTAACATTTATGTTTGGTAAAATTTTCAGTCTTACAATTCTGTGATCAATAATCACAGCATTTTTATGTTCATTTGTGGTAATGCGTAGAGTGTCCAAAAGAAAAAAAATGAGTTGTCTAAGATGCATGTTCCCAGCTGAGGTTGAACCAGGCAACACTGTGCCCTGTTTCGGCTCTCATACTGTAAGTTTTCCATATTCCAGAATACAGCATCCCATATGGGCGCCGGTTCGAGACCTGGCTGCTCCTGATCCAGCTCTGCTGGCCTGGGAAAGCAGTAGAAGATGGCCCAAGTCCTTGAGCCCCTGCACCCATGTGGGAGACCTCTCTCTCTGTCTCTACCTGTCTGTAACTCTGTCTTTCAAATAAAATGAATCTTTAAAAAAAAAAAAAAAAAAAGATTGAAGAAAAGCCGGCACTGCGGCTCACTAGGCTAATCCTCCGCCTTGCGGCGCCAGCACACCGGGTTCTAGTCCCGGTCGGAGTGCCGGATTCTGTCCCGGTTGCCCCTCTTCCAGGCCAGCTCTCTGCTGTGGCCAGGGAGTGCAGTGGAGGATGGCCCAATTACTTGGGCCCTGCACCCCATGGGAGACCAGGATAAGTACCTGGCTCCTGCCATGGGATCAGTGCGGTGTGCCGGCCACAGCGCACTGGCCGCGGTGGCCATTGGAGGGTGAACCAACAGCAAAAGGAAGACCTTTCTCTCTGTCTCTCTCTCTCACTGTCCACTCTGCCTGTCAAAAAATAAAAAAGATAAAAAAAGATTGAAGAAAAAAAATGAAGCAGCCTCAATGTCTTGTAAAATGATATCAATTAATCAACTGGAGATCCAAAAACGAAAGGAAAACAGGACTGGAAATATATATTTGAAGAAATAGTGGTCCAATAGTTTTCAACTTCTATCAGGAAATAATTGATTTAGAAACTCTGCAAATCCCAGTAAGGATAAATCCAGATAAAACTGCAGCTAGAACAATCATTGTCAAATCTCTCAAAACCAAATACAGAGAAAATTTTGAGAGTAGTAAAAAATATAATACATTGCTTACAAGCTACTAAATAGACATATTTGCATTATGTTTTTAAGATAAAGGACTTGATGCAGTCATATTTCACTTAACAGCAGGCACACATTCTTAGAAAGAATGTCATTAGGCAACTTCATCATTTTCAGAACATAGGTATACTTAAACTTAGATGGTGTAGGTCAATCACTCCTCATGGCCTCTTGGTGCAGTCAAGAGGAGGTATGAAAACACAAGATAGATGAGGCTGCTGCAAGGCATAATACTGCATACTGTTTTGTAGTTAACTTTTTCTAAGATTTGTTTATTTGAAAGGGAGAGTTAGAGGAGAGATTTTCCATCCATTGGTTCACTCCCAAATGGCTTCAATGGCTGCGGCTGCACTGGGCTGAAGCCAGGAGCCAGGAACTTCTTTCAGGTCTCCTACATGTGTGCAGGGGCCCAAGCACTTTGGCCATCTTCCACTGCTTTCCCAGGCACATTAGAAGGGAGCCGGCTTGGAATTGGAGCAGCCAGGAACTGAACTGGCACCTGTATAGGATGCTGGCACTGCAGGCAGTGGCTTAACCCGTTATATGAGAATGCCGGCCGTTATGGTTAACTTTTTTAATAAAGGAAGGATACACTCTAAAATGAGTAAAAAATCAGTCCTATCAAGAATGTACTGTGCATAATTGTATGTGCTATACTTTTATATCATTGATAATAGGTTTGTTTATATCAACATCCCCGCAAACAAGTAATGCATTGCACTACAACATTTCAGTGGCTATAGGCAATAGGAAGTTTTCAACTGTTAAAATCTTGTGGGACTACCACTAAAGTCATACATAGAGGCAAGTCCTTTGCCCATTTACAAATTGTGTTGCTTTTTTCTCTGATTTGTAAGAGTTCTATATATTCTGAATGAGTTCTTTGTTATATTTATAAATGTTGCAAATATTAATCCCTCTGATTTGCCTTTTCACTATTTTAATGGTATATATTTTGTACAACTTTTCAGGTTGTTCGCAGTGAGAGGGTGTTAGGATTATTTAGGTGAATATCACCAGGAATAGAACTTGGTTTCCTTTTTTTTTTTTTTTTAAGATTTATTTATTTATTTGAAAAAGTTACACAGAGAGAGGAGAAGCTGAAAGAGAGAGAGGTCTTCCATCCGCTGGTTCACTCCCCAGTTGGCTGCAACAGTCAGAGCTGTGCTGGGCTGAAGCCAGGAGCTTATTCTGGCTCTGCCACATGGGTGCAGGGGCTCAAAGACTTGGGCCATCTTCTACTGCTTTCCCAGGCCACAGCAGAGAGCTGGATCAGAAGTGGAGCAGCCAAGACTAACCAGCGCTCATATGGGATGCTGGCACTGTAGATGGCAGCCTTACCCACTACTCTACAGTGCTGGCTTCTCGGTTTTCTTTTACATATCGATGGTATGTTTTATACCAGCAATCATTTATCTTGATGAACATTGCACCATTACCAAATGGATACTGGTTTGAGAGACTTTAAAAAAAAAAAAGCAGCCAGTTTCAATCTGTTTTTCTTCATTTGAGTATCTTCTATAATATGGAAAAAATAATACAAAGAATTTTTTCATGAAACTTTTTCATGAAAACTTGTATAATTGTATATATGTCTTGATTCCTTTTCCCATCAATATTATGAGTTTGGAAAGTGATATTGAATATAATCAAATTCAAAAAACAGAAAACCACAGCTGATAGAAGAGAGAGCTGGGAAAGAAGCAGGTTCTGGCAAAGGAAGTTCTGATTGAAGAGAAGATGGAGAGGAAGACTGAGTGGGCACCCTAGGTGTTCCTGAGCTCCCTGCTCTTGATTGAGTACTGACCCTTATGGGAAGAAGCAATGCCCACCATAGCAGGTTCTTGAGAAAAGTCAATGAAAAAATAAGTAGGTAATTGTAGACACATAAGATACCAAAAACTAGGTTGAAATTATGAAATTACTTGACAGTTTTGCCCAGGAACAAGTCTGATTGTGTGTGTGTGTGTGTCTGTTCAGCTCATTTTGCCTCACCATGGGAGTGTCACATGCAAAGTGACTTAGATTTATGTTTCAGTTTCTATTTTTTTAATTTATTTTTTAAGGAATACAAATTTCATAAGTATAACTTTAGGAATATAGTTATTCTTCCCACCATAACCACCCTCCCACCTACACTCCCACCCCTCCTCATTCTCTCTCATCCCTTGCCAGTCCCATTCTCCATTAAGATTCATTTGCAGTTAACTTTGTACACAGAGGACCAACCCTATATTAAGTAAAGATTTGAGAACTAG